TAGAAAATGATGCACACCTGAGGTGTAACTGCCACTATTCGCAGTTTCGCACCATGGGCACATCACCACCTCAGGTGTGCATCCTTTTCAAATAATTCAATGGCCCGTCATCAATCATTTCTTATTTATTTCTTCACTTACTAAAGACAACTGGCAAAAAGTAGCTAACTACATTCCAGCTACTTTTTCTGGCACAAAAACAAGGAAGGCATGTGAATTAATGACTGACAACTTGAACAGATATTTATATGTTTGTGCCACAAAAATATTTATGTGCATAGAAAGAACATACTTACTCTCTCCCTCTCTCTCTCCAACAAATACGCACACACACACACACACACACACACACACACACAAACATACATGTACACAGAAACGTGTTGTCAGCGCTGTTCTGACAATTTTATCAGTAAATAGTTTAGCAACCTAAAAGCTACATGTTATATCTCACTAATAACTGCGCTGTTCTTGAAGCAGATGAACTTGCTGCCGAACACTGTTGAGAGACGCACAGACTCAGGTGATTCACACATGCTTAATCTCTCTTTCTCTCTCTCTCTCTCTCTCATAACTGTATTATTAAATGCAGTAGTCTGCTATCAATGGCTGTTATCAAGCCTCTGTTACTAGGTCTAAAATGACGTTTGGAATTAGCAACGGAGGCGTGGGATGAGATGCGTAAGAAATTAATCCTATGCCCAAGGGTGAAATGAATCCTATGCTCAAGGTTTTAATAATGGCTGTCTGGAAATACAACATCTGAACAATGTTGTGAGGTGTGGTAACCATAGTATAAGTGGAATAATTGACTCCAGGCCATTGGATTATTAGAAAATGATGCACACCTGAGGTGTAACTGCCACTATTCGCAGTTTCGCACCATGGGCACATCACCACCTCAGGTGTGCATCCTTTTCAAATAATTCAATGGCCCGTCATCAATCATTTCTTATTTATTTCTTCACTTACTAAAGACAACTGGCAAAAAGTAGCTAACTACATTCCAGCTACTTTTTCTGGCACAAAAACAAGGAAGGCATGTGAATTAATGACTGACAACTTGAACAGATAAACTTGAACAGAAACAATACTAGAATACACCCTAATGTATGGAAATAAACACTGCACTACATCGCTAAAGGTAGCTTGATTCTGGATAAGCTACAGTATTTTAAACACATTGTCACTACTGAAATCTGTTGAATATTTTCCAACACTGCTAATGACTTGAGCAAAAGTTTGAAAAAGTTTCCAGGTTTCAGATACTCAAAGCAGGTATTAAGTGGCCTATAAAAAATACAGGGATACAGGATAGAAACAATAACAGGTGAAGTGATTGCATGCTAATGCATGGTTAAGTTGCTGAGCCAAAGCCCTGCAGGGACCAGCTTTAAAGGTGTAGTTTCTGATAACTTTGAATGATGCCTTCCGTGCCACACACCTGCTCTCTTGATGCTTACACCAAATTAGCATTACTCACTGTTGGTTTGTGTCTCTTTTGCAAGTTAATAAATTATATATTACTGTTATAATACTGTTCAAAAGTTTGAGGTCGGTAAGTCTCTTATGGAAGTCTCTTCTACTGCTAGTCTCATCTGACAGTTGTCGTGCACGTTTTCTGCAAGGTCACAACCAAACAGAACAGTTGAAAACCCTAAAAATAAAGCCAATCTGTTGCTCAGATTGCATGTGCACTGAACATTCAGTGAACTGCACAAAAAAGAATTTGTCAGCCATTCAACTGCCTGGTCTAAAAGCCACCCTAAGTGTGGTTTCATGTTGTTAGACACCCCATTTGTGCATTCTGTGCAACTGAAAGGAGATGTGAGACCCGCGGAGGAGCTTCATGCCCTCTGACCAGCTCCACTTGAGAGCCACTCCCACAATGGGCAGTGACTCCATAGGTCAGGGGTCCTGTTTTGGCCCCAGGTTTCCAAGGTTACTGCCTAGTGGAGAAGAACGCTACTCAGTTCCCCTTTGTCCCTAAAATCAGGGCATCAAAAGCAGAGCAGAGCTGGAGTCTAGAATAAGGACTCCCACCCAGACACTTCACAACAGTCTCCTGCAAATACATGTACACACTGTGCAGAGTGAGTGAGATGGGCGTCCGAGTGCTCTGTGACCGCCAAAGCAGATGACATGAACAGGCAGGCTGCACTCCAACTATGCAAATGGCCTTTTTATGGTTTGTTGCCACCTATTAAGTGCTGAGAAAACTTCTTAGTGAGCTTACTTTAATGGAACTGACCTGTCAGGAATGCAATACAATTGTTTTTCAAACAAGAGCGCACTAATCTTTATGCACATACAATCACTGAGAAGATAACAACATACTACCATGACTATAAAGAGAAAATAACTGAAAAAAACCCATGCATATATATATATATAACATATGTAAGTGTTCTTACATACGCATGTATGTGAAATTATTTTGCAGCTCTTCAGTGTATCAAACTGAAAGACACCTGTAAACTCAATTTCAGATGACATGCAGTAAAAATAAAGTTAAATAAATTAAAGTTGAGTGATGTGCATCGTTAAGCTTTGCTTACAGACAGATCAGACTTAATTCTATATGTGGCGGTCTAAATAGAGACACTGCAGCAAGTGCAAACAGACTGAAGTCACAGCAGACTCACCATTATTGCTCAATCACAGATGAGACTGACGTCTGGATCGCTAGAGATTTTTTTTTAGATTGTTTTAGAAGAAAACAATAGAGAGATATTCCTCGACGCCGATGGCGATCTGTAGAGACGCGGTGGAGATGATCTGATGACGGAGTGTTGCTCTTCGGTTTCCCTCTCTGAGATTTGAACTAATCTGCACTGGAGCGGCTTCAGTGATTTATCACAGCGACTCTACAGCGACACCTGGCGATTACATAGAGGAGCTGCTGGATGTCTGTTTCTTTCTTTCTTTCTTTCTTTCTTTCTTTCTTTCTGAAATATTTATTACTACATGATGTAAGATTGCGCTCACCAAGGCTGCATTTATTTAATCAAAAATACAGTAACAACAACTTTTTTAAAAATATTTTCTGAATATATTTTAATATGTAATTTATTCCTGTAATAGTGAAGCTGCATTTTTAGCAGCCATTACACCAGTCTTCAGGTTTTATGGAAACGGGGATATATGTTTTTTCAGGATTTTTTGATAAAGTTCAAAATGTATGTGAAAGAGAAATTTTGTAATGTATTTACACTTTTGTTTTAATCAATTTAGTGCATCCTTGCTGGAGAAAAGAATGAATTTCTTTAAAAAAAAAAATTACAAAAAATCTTACTGCCCCCAAACCTATGAAAGGTATAACATGTAGTAATATTTAGTATAATATGTATAGTAGACCTAGTATGGTGAACTCTCCTTCATTTCTACTGTTTATCTGGAAGTAATTTGGAGCACAAAACCTGAAGCTGTGCTGTGCAAGAGCTGCATCCGCTTTATAAAAATGTTTATACAGATAACATATTTCCAATGGGAACTAACAGAATAGAATGAACAAAGAGGTGTATGACATCCGGTTGTTATAATTATTCACAGAACTCTTACGAAATCAGATGCATCTAGACACAGACTCCTATCTGGCCCCCAGACCTCCTTCTACTGAGTAAGACTGACAGTACCCTGTCATTACCGCTCCACTCCACTAATACTGTGATGACTGTAGCTTCTGGGCACACACCTGAGTGCACTGCATACTTCCTGCCCTTTGAGGATAGAGGAGAGGCATTCTGAATGGTTTCGTTTTAGGAACAGTAAATGAGTGAAAAGAAATTAGCTTCTGGAGAAGCATTAAGACCTTTTAACCCTTAGAGCCCCACTGTATGTGTTCAAAGGAGTAGTTCACCCAAAAAATATAAAAATTTGCTGAAATGTTCTCACCCTCAGGCCATCAACGATGTAGATGAGTTTGTTTCTTCATCAGACGAGATTTTGACAAAATAGCATTACATCATTTGCTCACCAATGGATCCACTGCAGTGCATGGGTGCCATCAGAATGAGAGTAAAAATAGCTGGGAAAAAACCCTTCACAATAATAAACAAGTAATTCACACGACTCCAGTCTATCAACTAACGTCATCTGAAGTGACAAGCTGCATGTTTGTAAGAAACAAATTCATTTAATCATATGCATAAAACCAATTTCTAATACATTATGAATGTCAATACTTGAGGGTTAATGCAGTGTAATGGCTGAGGTTTTTGTAATATGAACACATTGCTCTTGTTTTTTTCCACATCTTTCCTGTGCTTTCAATAGCACAAATATGTCGCCCCCTGTTGGTAATGTTAAAGCTGTGGTATTTCTGGTATTCAGTGGGTGTCATAAACACTTTGGCTTTATTGATCATAACAGCAGTAGTTTAAATTGCTATAAAGAACACAGAAAACAGAAGCTGGCATGAAAATACTGTTTTATTGCATATTATGAAAAAATAGCATGTAGGTACAGAATTTAAAACTGCACAATATTAGAAATGTATTAATAGCCTATAGTAACATGTTGTTACAGAGACTAAAAGACAGATACATAACCCTCTTTCCATTTTTGTTTATCCATTTATGCCAGCATTTCTATAGTTGCATATTTGATTGTCATATTTAAATTTCGTCTGCTCAAATGACATTTATATTCTCACATATACTGTTTACAATCCCCTTTCTTGTTGTAGGGGTCAGTAAAACAATGGGAATGCACATACTACCTAATCTACACTCTTAAAAATAAAGGTGCTTCACGATGCCATAGAAGAACCTTTTGGTCTAAATGGTTCCATAAAGAACCTTTAACATCTGAAGAACCTTTCTGTTTCACAAAAGGTTCTTTGTGGCGAAATAAGGTTCTTCAGATTACAAAAACGCAAGAAAGAGATGGTTCTTTAAAGAACCTTTGACTGAATGGTTCTTTGTGGAACCAAAAATGGTTCTTCTATGGCGTCGCTTGAAGAACCTTTTGATGCACCTTTATTTTTAAGAGTGTAAGCACTATTTACACTTTGCTCTGTTCCACCTGACTTGTGTCTTCTCAAAAGGGGAAAAAATAGTGTTCTGTGAGGATCGTTCTGGTTATTGTACAGTCATTTAGCATGTTATAGCTAAGAATATCTGACTGGCATGATCCAGGTTTTCAGGTTTCTATAGGATTTCTCTAAAGGACTTCATCATGGCTTCTTAGGCTTGGTGGTGGTCCGTGCTGACTGCACTTTGACAGTGGTTGATGCAGACCTTGAACCCTCTAGGTTTTGAGCTGTGCAGGTGTATGTTCCTTGGTCAACCTCTCTGACCTCATCCACCAGCAGTATTATCTGAGTTCGGTGTCGGTTCTGCCCGTCCACTTGCACTGTCTGCACACTGTCCTGGGTGTACAGCGGGCGCCCAATCTGATAATGAAAAATAAAAATAATCTTAAAAAACTAATTTTTAAATAATATATAATTTGTAATTTATTTTAATATAATTAACATTTAATTTTATATATATATATATATATATATATATATATATATATAGTATAATATATTATACAGAAATGTATAATATATATACATTTCTGTGTTCTTTATATATATAATTTTTTATATTGTATGATGTAAATATGTTGACCCTCAAAGCCTACTGTATTATATTTGATTATAGAAATTCTCTAAATTAGGACTTGGTACACATTTTTGTATTAATAAAATAAATGTAACACTAACTTTTATATCGTTAGTAATATTCTAAGATTAACACAGTCTGAAGCAACTTAGGTTTATTGGTTATCCATACATCATTTTTTGTATGTTTCGTGTTAAAATGTGAGTATCAAATATGATACATCAAGCTTTTGAGGAGTGTTATTTGTCCATCATCTCTCGATCATCACTGTATTGCATTACAGTATATACGTTGCTTTCAACAATAAAAACGACTTTGATCATAAAACTAAGCATTTAAATATCCTCTTGCATATTAAGATCTCTTTGATTTACATATTACAAGTTATCAGAATTTCATCTTACTTTTTGGACATATAAATATTAGAAACTGCACCAGGTTGCTTATTATTGCTCAGTTTGGCCCTCTGAATAAAATCAAGGTTTTTCTCTTCTTTCTTTTAGATTGAGTCTAAAACTGCTCTATTTCAACAAAATTTTCATATGTCACTGTTATTTCATATGTCAGGGTTTATAGGTTTAATGCTAGTTCCATTTAAAAACCTTTTTAAATACAAACAAAATTTTAAATGTGCTTAAATATTGTGAGGTTGTATGTCTTATTTCGTGTACCCTCTGGTCTAACCTTTTGTCCAGGATATTCCCAGGTAAAGTCCACCACCACGTCCTGCTCTCCTATCACAGTGCATGTCACCTGAAGATTCTTTCCCACTGCCACAGTGTCAAAGGAGGTCTGGATCGCAGGGAACGGAGGGGCGGCTGGATCTACCAGGGTAGACATTCTAAAATCATTTCTGAAATTTGGTCACATTCTTGTGTGCTTTCAGTTTACTGTCGTGTGCTAACTTCAGAGGAAATACTTACAGTTGACATAGATGAGCATGTATGTGGTTGAGCTCTGGCGAAGGTTCCCCAGGCTTGCCACACAGTGCAGAGATCCAGCATGATACTGCTTCGGTCTGTGGATGGTGAAACCCTTCTTGACGTCAAAGGAGATTTCTAGTCCATCCACCTTCACCTCCAATGGAGGAAATTCCCGGTGTAAAGTCACCTTTGCTTGCGGAGACGTCACCTGACAGGGCAGGACGGTGGGCCAGTTAGTGCGAAGCTGAATGACCTTGTAATAGTCAACAGAAGGTACAAACAACTCCTGAGGGTCTAAGAGAGAAATGTCAATGGGCAATCGTCATTTCTGTGTTTAAATTGGAATTAAAATTGTGATAGTATAAGTATGTAAAGAATTAAGTACAGTCAGACAGTCATTACTGCAAAATAATTAGTGAATTGCAGAGATATTGCATTTCCAAACATCATTTCTCTGAATTCAGCACTGCAACATTGACATTGCAGTTTTTTACATTCAGATACAGAGTCTCGACATAGATATGTAGGGCTAATGTTATTCTTTACTACTTCATTTTAGATGTAGAATTTTCTTGTTACTTAAAGAATACTTGTATAATTTGCACACTGTTCATCACATTCAGTGTTGGGAAGGTTACTTTGGAAAAGTAATGGGTTACAGATAGGCCTTTCACAATAATCAATATATCGACTTATCGCGCAAACATGACCTCAATAATTTTTGGTGACGCAATATATTGCTCATTATATTTACTTAAAAATGAATGTCACCATGTTTTGTACATTCCACTTGTGCCTTTGTGTTTTGCATCTTCTCTTACATAACGTGGTGTAGTCATGAGGTGCTAGTTCAAATTTAAAAAATGCTTCTACAAAAAAAGTTTCATATGCAGATATGGCCTTGTTTAGGGATCTGTGCCTTTGTGCATACGGACATTTGACTAATAAGAAGTGACTGTGTTTTTCAGCAATAGTGTGCACCCTTAATTTACAGAGAAAAGATGGTCAGGGAAAAATCTGATGGAAAAATCTCCAGACAACTTCTTTGTGCATTTTTCTTTTTTTCTACTTGTTACTTTGCACTATTTATTCAGGTTTTTTAGGGTATCTAATATTTTGATACTTAATTTCCATGTTCTAAATATTCTTAAAAATTAAATGTTTGTTGTCATTTGGAAGTGTGTAGGACTTCTTGCATTATTTAATCTGTTACATTATGATTATGTATTCAGTGGGATAAAATGGTCTTTAAAATGACAATAATATCGCTTATCGCAATTATTTCTGGGGAAATATATCGCACAACAAAAAGTTGTTATCGTGACAGGCCTAGTTACAGATTACAAGTTATCATATTTAAAATGTAATAGTAGTGTAACTATTTTAATTACTTTATTAAAGTAATGTAACTGATTACATTTGATTACTTTTCTAAATTTTTAACAAATGTTTTCAAATGTTAATCATTTTCAAACACTTAAAGCAGGCAGGGTTAACCTTCCAGTGGCACTCAACACTGATTACTGTCAGACTTTCAGAATCCTTCTTCATTTGAATTAAGATTAAAATAACTTAATTTTGAAGCACAGCCACCACAAAATCAGACTTTAGCAGCTGTTTAATTTGAGATCATTCTTTAATTATAGATTTAAAATCATAAGATATAGTTTAGCTATGATACTGTTTTTAAAATCAAAATCTTTGTATCGCTCTGACAGGAAACTGGCATCTAACAATGCTTTGGGGAAAAAAACAGTTAATGTAAAAAAAATAAAACATATACATAAACCCAAATTTTCAAATTTCGTCGTAAACTCCTGAAACATTGGTGTCTCATATTTTAAAGCAGTCAATGCAATTTGGGAAAGAAATCAATCAAATCTGTATGTGTGTGTGAAAATATTCAGATGTAACCCCTTTTGTAATCTTTAACATTTTCATAAGTAACTGTAATTTAATTACACATTTTTCCCCCAGTAACTGTAACTAATTACAGTTACATTTATTTTGTAATTAAATTACGTAATTCCGTTACATGTAACTAGTTACTCCCCAACACTGATCACATTCAGTGTTCCCTGATCATTCTATTTACTCCCCAACACTGATCACATTCAGTGGTTCTCATTCTCATATTACCTGAGAAAAAGATGAAGACTTTGACTCCTTTATCATACTGTTTTCTGCAGTCTTTATCCTCACAGTACATGGGATAGCAGGTGAACTCCCCTGTATCTGCCGCTGTTGCGTTTGCCAAAATCAGTGTACCATAACGTTCATGCTGAACTGTCCTGAAAATACAGACAAAAAACAATTGATTATTTGAACTAAATGAATGCAATCTAATGCGATGACAGATTTAATGTCTCTATTAACTCATACCTGAGTCGTCCTTCATCATCCTCTTCTAGATATGCAGGAACAGCCCACTGGACAGGATTTCCTTTACACCTCAGCTCTAATGTATCACCTGCTTGGACAGTCAGCGTGTCCCCCACTTTCTGAAACCTTCCCTTGTTTACCACCTGAGTGAGGTAGGTCTGAGCTTCTTTAGGGGTGGTTTTCACTTTAGGTTTGGAAGCAGGAGTCTTTCCTGATCCCTTCCCAGACTTAGACTTGCCATTTGGTCTCTTCTCAGCTTTGGTCTTCGGGTCAGGTTCAACCTTTTGGCACATGCCTGTTTTGGCAGTGCACTCAGTAAGAATTACATGTATGCATTTGGCAGACACTTTTATTCAAAGTGACTTTGGACTGAATTTAAAGTAAATTTGATCAGTTCATGTAGTCCCTGAGAACTGAACCCATAAATCTGGGTTTCATGCAAAACAAAAACATTTTCTATGCAACTTTTGATAAATGTTTTACATGCATTGCATTAATACCTGCTTTGTACAGTCATATTGTTTTTCACTGTTTGTATTACTGAGAATCGCATCTACATAATGTACAATATGGCCTCATAAGAGATAAGATACTCACCGAACTGAATGATCAAATGAGAAACAAGAAGAGCAAATAGCACCACCCTCCACTTCATGGCAGAGAATATTCACAGCAACCACAAACAAACTTTAGTTCACTCAGGTATACCTTCCCAGGTCTTAAACATGCAGAGAAGGGAGAAATAGAAAGGTAGTGGGAGAGGAGGAACCAAGTGTGTAGAGTGAGAGGTCAGACGTTTACCAGAGTCGCATGAGCACCCTAAATTCCTTCGGTTACACTCAATGGTTCCTTTCTGTGTTCATTCTACCAATCAGGGTCTGAGGAGAGCTGACCATCCAACTGAAAAAGCAGCCAGTGTTTATTTAGCTGTAAAAACTCAGAGGGATCAGTCTAAGGTCTTCTCTGTGAAAACATTTGTCACAAGGCAATTTCTAATTACTGAAGAACGCATGGTAAATGTAAAATTGATCCACAAATATGTACATGACAGTGTTATGCATGATTAATATGTTCTACATTGTTACATTTACTTGAGTTATTTTTTCTGGTGCATAAAAACAATGGAGCTAAAAATTCTAAAGATACTAGTGGCCTATAAACTCATTGCCGGGTATTTGCTGTGGAATGACCCAGTTTTCTGAATTTCTGTTTGATTTAATGGTTCAGATCTGATTAGTGCGACACAGGTAGGATCTTGTGAATGGTACTATTGTTCTTTTGTGCCCTCACAGTTGAAAGTAAGATTAAAGTCCCTTAAGGGCACATCAGTTCGCTCAGCAACTCTGAGGAGCAACTACTTTCTAGTCATGCAAGTCCTGTATACTTAACCAAATCTTTTTTTCCAAGCTTACATTCTGTTACATAAATAAAAATAAAAAATGAACAATGTCATTGTCATAAATTCTGTTTGTTTAGCTCAAATCTTAATGCTTAACTAATATTTCAAATCTTGATACTTAACTTTTTTCCCCATTTGGTCCAGCTAGTGCACACTTACAGTATTTGGGACCTTTTTTTTTTACTTATTGAAGCATTTTCTCCCAACATAAAGTATCGTTCAAATGTTTGGATCAGTATGCTGCTTTTTATACTTTTATTCAGAAAGAATGCATTAAATTGATCAAAAGTGACAGTATAGACATTTGTAATGTTAGGAGTAGTTTCGGTAAAGACTGGAGTAATAGTTGCTGAAAATTCAGTTTTGCCATCACTGGAATAAATTGCATTTTAAAATATATTAAAATAGAAAACAAATATTTTAATTGTAATATGATTTCACAAAATCGCTGTTTTTACTGTATTTTTTGAACAAATAAATGCAGCCTTGATGAGCATAAGAGACTTCCTTCAAAAACGTTTTAACAATTTTACCGACCACAAACTTTTTAACAGTAGTGCGTAATTTAATAAACGATGTCATGGTCAACTTGAAGATTCAGAAATATTTATTTATTTATTATAAAAAGTATAAATTGACAGAGATGATTTCACTGCAAATATGATAAAAACTCTAGTTTAAAAAACACAAAAACCTAGAAAGAGCTTCTTGCTGAACTGGCATCTACTTGAGAGATATGACTGGTGCAAAGGATTTTTCTGTAGGTCATCAATTTATTTGGATCCTTCTTTATCAGATTTGGTTTCAATGGTTTCAATGGTGACCTGACTGCTGAGTAACCTTTGCCTCTGGATGCTGTTCCTCACTCCATATCCAAAGTAGATAAGGAATCCTGAACAGAAAAAAGACACACATTTACACTTTTTTTTTTAAATATAGGTTAATCTTTCAACAACATTTCATATTTTGCATTGCATACCCCCTGCCATCCACACAGCATAACGAATCCATGTGTCTCCTCCCAGTTGAACCATCAAGTAAATGTTGATGAACACACTCACCACAGGGAGTAAAGGCAAGAACGGTACCTGTGGTCACAGAAAATATGAGATATGAATCATTTTTATTTTTTATTAATATTTTTACTTTATAAAATAAGGTGCTATTGTATTGTATTGTTTTGCATTGTATTGCATTGTAAAAGTCCTGTGCTCACCATGAAGGAGGCTTTGGTTGGGTTTTGGGGTTGCCTCCAGATAATGAAGACCGTGAGTAACATTATGATCAGGATCACAGTTACACTCACAACACTCCAGATCTCCAGAAACAACAAAGATCTGATAGCTTTGCTCATCAGCAGTGACAGAATAAGCACCAACACAACTGCAAAATCAAAAGATATGAAAGAAATTTGCTGATATTGCTATATAATGCTCCAAGTGGTCATATTTTTCGGTATTTCTGTGGAAGGTTTTCTGCATACCAAGAAAAACTGTGCATGTTGTAACAGTGTTTGAAGTTTCATTGGTAGGGTATGAAGGGGGTTTCAAAAACCCAAACGTCGAAGTTGTGGGTGTGTGCAAATCACTTTCCTCTGAAGCAGTCTCTTGATACCTTGAAAGAAACTAGTTTTAGCTTCAAAGATTTGCATCATGGTGTTAGAAGGGAAGTGTGGAGCTGGGAATACAACCTTAGTATGAGAATACAAATAGCCACAAGTGTGTAGGAGAAGAGGGTTCCAATCGACATCATATCAACCAATGCCTTCAGGTCAAATAAAAGAGCCATTATTGCTGGAATAAAGCAGAACACATGATTTCCAGGGCTTTTGCATTTTGCACAAAAGCTGCAGATTATTCATCTTATAGAGAGAAAAAAGCTCTAGTCTTATGATTTGGCTTAGTCGGTCATATGTGAGAGATGAAAAAGAGATCCAAATTAATTGATCCAATATGTAGATAATTTTTTAACAATCTTGTTTAATACACTTACCTGCCACAGTGCCAGAGGATAGTGTGGCCACCACTGGACTCTGCCGTAAGCTGACTTTATACAATGATTTGAACATGAGTCCATCTCTGGCCATGGCAAACAGGACACGGGGCATTGGGAACATGGACCCCAAGAGACTGAAGATGAAATTAACTGTCTGTAACTGAACCAATACATAACAGAGATTCAGATCTCAATCTGTGACTCCTTTACCTTGTTGACAGAGCGCACAGGGACCCGACTGCCACAACGTACTTTGCAGCAGCCCAGCCAATGTAAGCAAAAGCCACAGGCAAAGGACTCTGAACACTGAGTCGGTAGTATGGCATCATCAAAGTGAGAGCAGCCGAAACGCCAAAGTACGCCAGGAAACAGATGAGCAGAGACACCACGATACCCACAGGTATAGACTTCTGAGGGTTCTTCACCTCCTCACCTGGCAAATCAGTTTAAAAGCATGACTAGAGATAATACACACTAAGTTTTAAAAGTTTGGGATGAGCAAAATGTTTTTTCATTTATATTTTCAGCAAGGATGCATTGAATTGATTAAAAGTGACAGTAAATCATTTTATATTGTTAGAAAATATTATAATTTCAAATAAATGCTTTTGATCTTTCTATTAATCAAAGAATCCTGGAAAAAGCGTTATATATTAATATTAAACATGATTTCAACATTGCTAATAATAAGGAATGTTTCTTGAGCACCAAATCAGCAAATTAGAATGATTTCTGAAGAGTCATGCGACACTGAACATTATTAATGTTTTCAGATTTACCTGTAGTTGCAATGCAGTCAAAGCCAACAAATGCATAGAAACATGTGGCTGCTCCTGCCAGTGTTCCTTCAAATCCAAATGGGAAAAATCCACCTACTCCATACCCAGTGGTGACATTGACGGTGGATGTTAGGTTTCTTAAAAATTAAAATAAAATAAAATAAATGGTTTTAGAAAAGAACTGAGGATATCTGAATTTGGAAAGGCACATTAGCACACTACTCCTACTATTTTTTCTATAATAGTAAAAATATGCTATTTGGTACAGAATATATAGATTTTGCATTTTTATCTATTTTGTGTAAAAATGTTTTGGCAAACTTATGTCAGTCCAATCAAGTAATGAGTCAAGAAAGACATTAAAATTGCAACTGATTTTATTTTCCCAAATGCAGTAGATTGTGTATTCTACTGAAATTTGCATACTGTGTATGCACAGTGTATGTTCTATACACTGCATCAAGTAGTATTCTATACTGAACATACACAGATCATTTTAATGTTTCTAGACTGAAAGGACTACACTGATTATTACTACACTGAAAATTCCAATAAATTATAAATGCAAATGTTCTTACTCATGCATTGCTGTTGCATTCAGGATGATGTCTTCAGTGATAAACCAGTTCTGTAGGTTTCCCTTGATGAAGCCAGCGATGATGACAAATACCAACACCAGTATATTAACACTTGTAAATATCTTGTTGACCGTGGTTGATTCTTTCACGCCATATGCAAGAAGACCTGTGAGAAAAATACAGTACATCGAGTCTAAGCCTTTGCCATAGATGCTAAATATAGAATAATGAACTAGACAGTGTATGATTAGTATAGTCAGATACCAGAGAGAATCATTATGAGACCAGCTGCAAAGAAGTCTGGGTAGGCTGCCAGGCCAGGCAGGTCCATGGCTGTGTATTTGCTAAAATAATTAGCCATCACATTTCCAATAAGATCATCGAATGTGCCACTCCATGCCCTGGCCACACTTGATGTGCCTAAACCAAGAGAAAGCTCTGTTAGTACTTGACTTTTGACTCTATCTATCTATCTATCTATCTATCTATCTATCTATCTATCTATCTATCTATCTAATCGCCATTAGGCTGAAATTGCATTTTCATAAGCCTATAATTTCTGCTTACCGATGACATAAGACAGTAGTAAATTCCATCCTGTGGTGAAGGCCCACACCTCTCCCACAGTCACGTAGCTGTACAGATAGGCAGAGCCGGTCTTAGGAACCCTTGCGCCAAATTCAGCGTAGCAGAGCCCAGCAAAGGTAGAAGCTAAAGCAGCAATGAAGAAGGAGATGATAATACTTGGTCCAGCCAGGGTCCGGGCCACCTCTCCAGAGAGCACGTAAACACCGGCCCCCAAGGTGCTGCCCACTCCCAAAGCCACTAGATCTAAAGTTGTAAGACAGCGACGAAAAATGGAGACCTCTCCCTCCGGTTCCAGGGGCTTTCTGCGGCACAGGCCCCACAGGAAAGACCGTATCGATTGCATTATTGGCTGTTAGAGATGAGTGAAAGTAAAATTTCAAATGTTTACTTTGAATTTAGCTTGTTTGTGAGGTTACAAATATATGAAAAGTTAAATATAAAAAAAGGTTAATGCTATATCCAAATTTTTTAAAGGAATTGTTTACTGAAATTTGCTGAAAATGTACTTAATCTCAGGCCATCCTAGATGTCGATTAGTTGTTTGTTTGGATTTGTTTCTTACAAACACACTTTTCTCTTCTCAAGTTAATTGATGGACTGGAGTCGTGTGGATTGCTTGTAGATTATTGTGATGTTTTTATCACTCTCATTCTGACGGCACCCATTCACTGCAGAGGATCCATTGGCGAGCAAGTGATGTAATGCTCAATTTCTTCAAATCTGTTCAGATGAAGAAACAAACTAATCTTGAATGGCGTAAGGGTGAGTAAATCTTCAGCAAATTTTAGTTTTTGGGTCAACTATTTCTTTTAACAAATGACATTTTTCTGCATTTTTTATTTAGCTAAATTACTTTTGTTTTATCATCATATCAAATGTCATTTTTAATATCATTTCCATGCTATTGTGTCATTTGACAACTAATCTGGATTATGCTCAAGTAATCGCCCTGAAAAATAATAGTTTTTAATCCTTTGCGTGTTGGTCATTTATTTGTCAAATAATTGTTCCTCCCATTTACCTTATCACAATGTCTTCATGTTTTCACAAGTGTACTGAGATGTTTTTCTTTGTTTCTTTCCTTTGAAAAAAAACAGATCTCTAATTTAAGAATGAACAGATCACTGATATCCATCACTAACCATCTTTGTGAGCCACAAATGATTTTTTTAAAATCAAATTAATTCAATAATTAAAAACATGGTGTAATGGATCCATTACTAAATAATTTCATTCAAGTAATTTTTTTTTCTTAAATCTTATTTTACAAGGCTTCATGTACATTAATCTTCTCATTGGTGTATTGGTTCATACAACAGAAATGATGCAGTCAGGTGTCCTCCACTTTCTACTGCATCACTTATCCTCTTCTGAACTCTAGACAGAAGCCTGTTCTGTGGCTCCATGAGAATAATGAAGAAGGATAGACAAAGCTGCCTTCATGACTTGGCAGTGGTCGGCTGGCACACGTTCTGTTTGTGTGGTGGCTTTCTAAAATCTGCCAACAGGAGATTTACTATGATGCTAATCCTGCCAGGAATCTACTGCTGCATACTGCTTTCTATAGCACTGATCATGTGTCATGCCAACAAGAACACACAGAACGTAGTGTTGCAAGTTGTACTATTCTACTCTAATAATTTTACTTTTTTATTGCAAATATTTTATGTAAGAAAGTGTTACTTGTTAAATTACATGCAGAAGGATTTGTCATATTTTCCTTATTAATTAATTAATTAATTAATTTTTGCATTTATTTACACCTGTTGTTGCACTGAAAATATGCACCGCACTGAATGCACTGATGGCAAAAAAAAAAAGCCAAACTTAAAATGTAATAACTATAATGATAAAATGTTACGACTATAATGACTAAATAGCTTGCAAAGACATTTCTTAATGCATCTAATTAGTAAGTGAATGTTTGTTTCTTTACCTTAATTGTGTCCAGAGAGGTTTGCGGTCTATATCTTCGTAATAACTGTCTAAATATATCCGTCCCTTTCACACCAATGAGGCCAAATGATTTTTCAACAATATATACAAGAGTGGACTGTTTGACCCACCCACTCAATGACATTAGCAACAAAGTAGCCTTTCTTTCCACATTTCTCACTGGCCCCATAATGTGCTCATAATTGCAGCCAAGGCACAGGGTGAGGATAAAATTCCATGTGAGAACCAAACAAAGATCTGTAATATTGCTGTGAGGTTATAATAGCTATCTATCTCAGCAAATACTTGCACGATAAAACAGAACATTGTTTTATACAAGAAAGAAATAGGACATTATTAATTATGAAACAATTTCAGCTTTGGTCAACAAGCATTTTGAGAAATTCACTTTCGATTCACTAGATGGCAGCCCAGCTTTGTAATACCTGGCTACTGACTATAAAGAGGGGCTTACATTCATGATTTATAGTGCAGAACGTTAACACATTTAATAATGCTTTTTGTGACTCCAGCAATTAAATCATGTTTTACCAATAACTGTAAAGTGTCGGACAATACCTAAATCATTCTATGAGTCTAATGAAATGAGACCGTATTTAGGGAGAAAGGTTTACTGTGAATGAGTAGTGGCTGTATCGGCCCCCTCTCCCTCCATTCTGCTCTACTATGCTGTTCTGACTTGGATTCTTCACCCTCTTACCGGAATGACCGAAAGGCTCAGACAGAAATAGCCCTGTCACAATCTCACGCCAAGGCAGACATACAGCCATTGGATACTAAGAGCATATAAGCAAACACTCTGCTTTTCTCTTGAAGTTTACTCATAAGACACTGTGTTTGTACTTGGCTGCAATTCAGACTGCATCTGAGTAATTCATTAACAGTTCATATGTCTCTGCCTAAGTATGGGTCAGGCTTTATTTCCAAACAACTACTTGCTGAAAATAAATACATAAATAAATAAATACTGACCCCAAACTTTTTTAATGTAATGTATATTGTTAGGGTTAGGGTTAGGTTTAGGTTTATTCTTTTTTAAAAAGAAATGCTGTTATTTCTTATTTTTTATTCATCAAAGAATCCTGAAAAACATATCACAAGTTCCAAAAAGATTAAGCAGCACAACTGTTTCCCTCATTGATAATAAATCAGCATATTAGATTGATTTCTGAAAGATCATGTGACACTGAAGACTGGAGTAATGGCTGCTGAAAATTCAGCTTTCCATCACAGGAATAAATTACATTTTGAAGTAGTCCTAGGCTATATTAAAATCGAAAACCATTATTTTAAAATTGTATATATTTTTTGTTTTTACGATATTACAGTTTTTTTCTATATTTTTGATCAAATAAATGCAGCCTTGATGAGCATAAGAATCTTCTTCAAAAAACATAAAAAAAATCTTACTGATCCCAAACTTTGTTTACTTTTAGCTGGCTCCTATTTGTCCCAAAGGTACCAATGGTTTTCAGATATTGATCGACACTTATTGGTGCAGCTCTTGATGTCCCAGCAAAGTACTTCTATGTTTATGGTTTTATAAAGAAGCTAAAATATCTGACTATATAAAGAAAACTATGTGAATTGCATACCACAGAGGATCATGTGGCGTCAACATGACCTCTGCCATGATAGGGCAACACGTTCCATGTAGAATAACGATGTTTTTCATTCCTATTTAAATTTTCAATGCCAAATTTATTTGGATTCTTTTTATTTATTAAATGTATTCAAATTGAGTAGATCTTTAATCTCACAAATACTGTGCATTTGTTTCTCAAATAATCATCTTGACTCAAGAGTTTACAGGAATCGCCAAATGTGCTGCATATGCAGATCAGGAGGTGCACTGCAGATAATACCGTCTGAGAAACCAACGACTCGAGTCATAGTAATCCCATGCTTCACGTCGTTTATGAAAACTGGCGATCACGAGCCGTCAGCCGTGGACATTACATCATAGCTGCTGGTTCTCCTGAGCAGTCTGCGCCGCAGTCTTTACGCCAGAGAAGAACAGCTGATACTTGCACGGACGTTTCTCAGCAAGAGACAACGGACCACCGTCAGTCGGAGCTCGAGACTCCCTGTGATTAAGGTAAAACGCTGCTTTTGTTGTTATTATTATTTGTAACTATTCTTAGCGAGTGCATTGGAAAATAGTGGCATTTTATGATACATATTGTAGCATATAAATGCGCGTTTCATGGACAAATGGTAGCCTACCACTTTAATAACTTTAAGCGTTCACAGATTCTTTTCTACCGCTAAACTTTATATAGGATACACACTAAATTCTACCGATTAAACACATGTATGATGATTGAAAATGTGAAAAGTTAATTATTAACCAAAGGTCTTAAGATTATTATTGTAGTAAAGGTCTTTTTTATGTCATATCAGTTCAGCTGAGAGTAGTTTTCATTCATTTTTTTAATTATTAATTTCATTATAATTTATGGTTTTGCTGGTTGGGTGGAGCTGTGTGAATGTCTTTCTCAGACCTTGAAAGAATTCCTGACTCAGACCAGACAGAGAGGCATGCCTATTTTTGGACTCCACTGACACACATTTACTATTTTAAACAATACTGAAAAGTGCCTGTGATTTTTATTTATTTTATTTTATTTTGTTTTACAAAAGTCTGCAGAGTCCGAGTGCAAAATCAATAGGCTAATGCTTACACAACATACAAGAAGAAGTGAGACATTTTAATGAATTGTCATTGTGCAGCTTGCTGCTGCATCTTCCGCAAGTTTTGTGCACAACTTTGGCATTATAACAGAGAATACAATTTCCATTGGTGAACTGCAGACTGGACGTTCTTCCATCACTGAGTGTTCCCTGTTATTTATTTGCCTGATTTTATATATATATATATATATATATGTAGTGAAAGAGAGCATAGTATAAGTTCACCGGGTGGAGCCAAGAGTATCCTGTGGAAAATGTGGCTTTGCCTTCAGCGTTTAAACCTATAGGGAGTAGCAATGGTTTGAATTAGGAGGAAATCATTTTTTAGAGCATATGAACAGTTTTGGATACTCATAGGAGTGAACTTATGGAAACATTCCATAGACAGTTTGCTTCAGAAGCAATGTGTTTTGAACTACACTGCGAATAGAGGTTTCTGGATAATATATCTAACATGGTTTCCATTGTAGCTTATAGTAGGCATAACTCAGAAACTCAAGATTCTTAAAGTAATGAACTGCCATTTTTAAAAGCACAGTACATTTGGTCTTTAATCATACACAAGCTAAGGAAAGGCTAACGTGTTTTGTTTTGTTTCTTCTTAATTCTCTCTCCAGGTTCAAGACTATCATTCCATTGACAACCAGTAACTGATTAAACATGGGCAAAGTAAGCCAAAACGTCTAAATCAGTGTGTCTGCTTGCTTTATGTTGATGTAACGTTTGAATTTTGATCATGTAGCCACCAAGACGTGACCTTTGCCTTCTTTCTCATGGTAACGAATCTCGTTTTCCATCTATTGTAGTTCAGGGAGTATAGGATATCACAGTTTTCTTTATGAAATCTCAGAGGTGGATGAATTGCTCATTAAAAAATTAGATCTGTTGAGAACACCACAATGCCGCAAGTAGACCTGTGGTGGCTCAGTGGTGTTATTTTTTAGTTATTTTATTTTTGATATCTATCTTGTTTATATATAATTTTTTAAATAGTAGCAAAACCCTGCGATCCCCTAAAGCCGTATGGAAATGATGGATAGTAGCAAAACTATTATTAAAGCACACTAATAATTTATTAAACATTATATATTAGTGATGCTTGTAAAATGAAGCATCACTATTGGTATTGCTCTTATTAGGATTAGGGATATGAATAAACCTCTAGCCCTAAGTATTAAACATTGTTTGTGCTATGCACATGAATAATACATCAAAGCATTTCTTATATCGTAGAAGTGTGCCTGGCCGGATGTTTGTTTGCTGAGATAGGTGTTGCTAGGGGTCTGTTGCTGTAGACGTGGAACCCTACAGCTGCTGTGTTGAGTGATAGCTGCTGGACAGGCCTTGAGCATGTGCACAGAAGCATAGGGGCGAGGACTCTGGCTCTGTGCCCTACTAAGACACGCCAGCAAGACCAATATAATGGGGAATAATTGTCAGGAGACAGTGAGTGCTGAGGAGCTTTGAAAATGCACAGTCATGTAGCATTTATGCCCTGTCAGATGTGAGGTCTGCAGCTCTCTGAAGGAGAACGATCCCTCTATAGATTCAGTAGGGTTGAAAGTGTAAGGTTACAGACATTTAAGATGCATACAGGCTTTCTGTCTCTCTCTGTCACACACAAACTGACTTTTGCTGCTGACCATATCATACAACTGCTGCACTGACAGGTGTCAGCTGTCCACTCTATAGTCCCGCCTGGGTTTGGACTAAAGGCCAGATGAGGGAGAGTCTGATTGTTGGTGTAAAATTACATTTTGGGATTATATAAACACGTGTAGCCTGTCCCACCCATGAGCAACTTAAAATACATTTCTGAATTCAGTATAATGCGTGAGATATCAAGTATAATGTGTTTTTTTTTTGGAAAATATATTTGATATATTTATTATATATACACTACCGTTCAAAAGTTTTTAAAGAAATTAATACTTTTATTCAGGAAAGATCCATTAAATTTGACAGTTAGACTTACATTGTTACAAAATATTTATATTTCAAATATATGTGAATTTTCTATTTATCATATACCACAGTTGCCACAAAAACAAAAGCAGCAGAACTGCTTTTAACATTAATAATGTAAACAAATGTTTCTTGAGCACCAAATCAGCATATTAGAATGATTTCTGAAGTATCATGTGACACTGAAGACTGGAGTAATAGCTGTTAAAATTTAGCTTTGCATCACAGGAATATATTACATTTTAAAATTAAAACAGATATCTTAAATGTAGTGCTGTCAAATTGATTATTCGCGATTAATCGCATCCAAAATAAAAGTTTGTTTACATAATATATGTGTGTCCTGTGTATATTTATATGTATATATAAATACATACACATACATGTATATAATTGATTTGACAGCACTACTTAAATTGCCATAATATTTCACAATATTACTGTTTATTGTATTTAAAATGTTTTTTTTTTGATAAATGCAAAATTATGTTTGTGTAAGATTTTTTTTCTTGTTTGGATAGATATTTAAGTAAAATTGTTTGGCCTTCCTCTTATGACAATGAAAGAAAACATTTAGAATGTTTATTATTCATTGGGTTTGATAAGATTCATCTTGCGACTCTTGGTTTACCGTTCAGTAAAAATTACGACTAAACATCTATAATTTTTGCTATAGGAATTTAGAGGTACAATTGCAGATCAACCTGACTTTGATGCGGGCAGTGATGCAGAGGCCCTCTATAATGCCATGAAAGGCTTTGGTGAGTGTCAGGACTTCTCAACTATAAATATTTAATATGAAGCCAGTGACTGCTATGATATGTCCATATAATCACTTAAAACTATTCTCTGTTGTGTCACAGGAAGTGACAAGGAAGCCATCTTAGACCTGATTACCTCGCGAAGCAATGCTCAGAGGCAGGAGATCCGTGCTGCCTACAAATCACAATATGGGAAGGTACTGGAAAATCTCCAGCAAACATTCAATAAATGGAGAAAAGGCTTATAGAACAAAATGTGCTCGATCAAAAATACATTATTTGACAGGATTTAATTGATGATCTGAAATACGAGCTGACAGGGAAGTTTGAACGTCTGATTGTGGGTTTGATGAGACCTCCAGCCTATCATGATGCCAAAGAAATCAAGGATGCCATTAAGGTATGTAAGAATCTAGATGCTTTGAGAGTTTGAGACTTTCAGTTTAAATGTGCAGTGCTTGGCTGATTGCACTGAAATGTACTATTCAAATGCATGGCCTGCACAGATAGTTGTATTCAGATAGATGTGTTATGTTGTAGTATTTCATTCTGTCTTTAATATTTTCTGAAAATATTTTGAATTATTATATTTTTTTCAATATAATAACAAAATGGCTACAGGATTTGTGTTCTATACAATACTTATCTGTCAATCAGCTAAACTGAACAGAATAGTGACTAACAACCTAATCTCTAAGCATCATTCATTAAAAGACCAATTACAGTATCGGCTATATTCTCTGTTATTTACTGCATGTTTTGTCCTGTGAATCTGTTTTGCTGTTGCTATCATTAGGATACGGTAAGTGATTTTCCTTATTTAATTAAATGGTGATAGTTAGGCCAGTTCTTTAGGGACTGTTAACCATTTTATCATCTGTATGGCTGTGAAAATGAAAAAGGATTCAGCCAATCAGGACGTCAGTAATAGAAAACATGGAAAAAATGGCTGACAATCCCTTTGGAAAAGAAATAGATTTTTACATATTTAATATTTATTAATCACAAATGTAGAAACTGCTTTGTTTCAATTCTTAATGTTGAGTTTACACTTAAATTGCTGTTTATTGCAGATTTTAACTGCTTTCTGCAAATGCCTTGTTACCATAAGAGACTGCAGGGTTTGAAAAATGTTTACTAACACTGTCCTATATGACAAAATAATCGTCTGTCATTTGAACACATATTCAATGTTGTACTGTAATTTCTCTATGCCATTTCAGTAAATGCACTCATATCCCTCTGAATAATTATACTAGCTGACTGTACATTATCCTGTACAAATAGATTTTCAAATGAAAGAGACAGAGTATGTGATTTGTGCTCAGTAATTGACCCTCTTGCTGTGCTTTAAAGGGAGCAGGAACAGATGAGAAATGTTTGATTGAAATTCTCACTTCAAGAACCAATGAGCAGATTCATAATCTGGTGGCAGCATACAAAGATGGTGAGTTTTACATTTTTTTTTTACAAAAGTTAACAAGAAACCAACTGAGGCAAAGCCTGACTCTGCGATTGTTCATAGCATATGGCAGAGACCTTGAAGAGGATGTTATAGGGGACACATCTGGACATTTTAAGAAGATGCTGATTGTTTTGCTTCAGGTGAGTCATATATTAGATCTTTTTTTTACAATACAGTTTAGTGACAAATGTGATGCGTGTGTGTGTTTATTAATGGTGATTGTCCTGTTTCTCAGGGGACCAGAGAGGAAGATGATGTTGTTAGTGAAGACCTTGTGGAGCAAGATGCTCAAGTGAGTGTGAATATTAAAATATTAGACTTAGAACTACACTGTAAAAAATTCATGTGAAATCTACAGGAATTTACTGTGTTTGTTCACAGGAAATTACTGTATACTAGTTCACAGTAGAATACCGTAGTTTCAGTCAAAATTGCAGTAATGTAAGAAGTACCGTGAGTGTCACAGTAACCAGCGATGTCTTGCAGAAAATCACAGTAATTTCCAATGTATTGTAGAAAACACAATAACTAATTATGTACTGTAGAAAATCACAGTAATTACCAATGTATTGTAGAAAATACAACAAGCAATTATGTACTGTAGAAAATTACAGTAACCAACAATGTGCTGTAAAAAAATAATGGATATTATTTATATCCAGCTTAGTTTTCACAAGAGAGTACAGGAAGCAAATGTATTCTTTAATAAAAATAAAAATAAAAAAAGACCAGAAGGTCATCAAGATTTTGTTTTCATTTATCATTCTTCACATCTAGCAATAAGTGAAGAATGATAAATTAAGCTTGTTATAATGATGAGCAGTTAACTGTGACTGTTGATAAATGAATATTTATATTTAAATTGTGCAACATGCATTATTTATTTCATATTCATTTTTATTTTTTTTATTCATTTGGGCTGAACCAATATAACTAAACAGCAATGGAACCTGTCGGTACCGATAGTCTAGTGGTTAGCGCACAGACATATAGTGCAACTGTGTCTCTGGCGACCTGTGTTCGATTCCTGGCTTAAGGTCCTTTGCCGATCACATTCCTCACCAATCGCTACACTGTCCTGTGTAATAAGCACAAAAAAAGTTGCACTTGCAAATTAGTGAGTTTTACTTTACAGTTACATGTTTGCTACTGTAAATGAAAACAGCGAAAATATGGTTATTTCTTCTACAGTAAGTTACTTGTCACTAGCTGCCAGTTAATTACTGTAGTTCTTTTCTACAGTAAGTTACTTGTCACTTGCTGCCAGTTAATTACTGTAGTTCTTTTCTACAGTAAATTACTTGTCACTTGCTGCGGGTTAATTACTGTGCTTTTTATACACTAAGTTACTTGTCACTTGCTGCCAGTTAATTACTGTGAATTTCACAGTCAGTTTCTTACAGTGTAGCTATAAAATACGATCGGTTTCAAACAGATCACTGGATAAATTATACTACAAATCAATATTATGTTGATTCTGATTGGTCTGTTGTGACATTCTCTGGTCAAATGTTTTTTTACAATGAGTGTATAACTCTGCGGCCTCTTTCTTCCCACATAAAGAAAATAAAACTTAAAGGTGCGATAGGTGATTGTCTTCAGAAACATTTTTTGTTATGCTGGTTGAAAGTCTCTTTACATTCCGATAGCAAACATTAAGTTAAGTGGTCTAAATGTATTTATATGTATTTATTTATATATTCTGTGGAAGGTGTAGGAGCAAGAAATGTTCGGTCCGAACATTGTGAAAGGCTTTCCTACCTGCCTGTCAAAATATGTATTTGCATACCTCTGCGCACCCTGTTCGCGCAGACAGGGCATTCACTTACGCTGTGCAGACAGAGCGAGAATGGCAGGCAAACAACAACAACCTGACCTTCCTTCCTTCCTTGGTATTGTACTGTTACTAACTGTACTATAAAGTTTCTCATTAGTAATGTTGTCTCTGGGCATCTGGTCTGTGCGCGTTCATGCGTTCAGGAGGCGTGGCTTTGGACAGTGATTTGCAGGGAGGGTGGGACGTACGCTTTCAGTGCTATCAGGCTAAAGTTAGCATTTTCCAAGATGTCCTACTGCACCTTTAACTGAATATTCTATGCTTATTTACGTATTTATTTGACTCTTTAGTGCATAAAGGATACAGGAAATCTATGCAGTATAATAACATACCCTACCATGCAACATATCTAGTGTGTTTTTGACCTCCTGACTTGCATCTTGAAAGAATGATTGTGTGTAATCTCACTGTAGGACCTGTATGACGCAGGAGAGGCACAGTGGGGCACAGACGAGGCCAAATTCATCATGCTGCTGGGAAACCGAAGTGTGACCCATTTGCAGTTGGGTATGAGAACCACAGCCACACACTGGACACAGAGATTTCTGCTGACTAACACCCCTCCTCCACTACACAATCTCTCTTCTGTGTCTGTAGCCCTCCTCACTGCACCGCTGATTAAATTTGACCATCAGGTTGCTGCTTTTAAAATCTGAAAGAGAGTGTGTAATGCAACAAACAAAACCATTGTGCAATGACCTAATTGTGATTATGCAAGATGTACCACTGTGCAATATCATGATTGTTAATGAATTTAGATTATTAATGGTTAAAATTAATTGCAATATTCGGATTACCCAATGTAACATAGATAAATTCTGTGTGATGTAACAGCAAATGTATGATTGTGCTTTTCAGTATTTGATGAATACCAGAAAATTGCTGAGAGCTCTATTGAGGACAGTATTAAGAGTGAGCTCTCCGGAGACTTTGAAAGACTGATGTTGGCTGTTGGTAAGCTTTGGCACCATGCAATCAATACCTGAAAACTCACTGCTGCATTTTCTCTAAGATCTGCTTTTTTCTTTATCTCCCATAGTTCAGTGCATCAGAAGTAAGCCCATGTACTTTGCCAAACGCCTTTACAAATCCATGAAGGTAGTGTTACCTGTTATAATGAATTGTAATGGAGTAAAATTGGTTTTATCAATACATTGTCATTTTCCCCATTTGTCTGCAGGGCCTGGGCACAGCTGATAACACTCTGATCCGCATTATGGTCTCCCGCTCTGAAATTGACATGTTGGACATCAGAGAGTGCTTCAGACTGCGCTATGAGAAATCTCTGTACAATATGATTCAGGTGTAACCACATCAAAATCCAGACTTTTCTTCATTCTCTCAGCGCGTAATGTGCATTACATTTATCATTGTTTGAAATAATTTCCAATAGTGAAGCTTTTCTCCTTGACCTTATAAATGCATTTGTCATTTGTTATGTAGTTACATAGGAAATATGGTTTATTTATGTGGTAGGTGCATTCTTACATTGATGGCTCATATTTTAAATGTTACCCACAGTGTACACATTGTGTGTGTTTGTAAATAAAATAGTAAACAATATATTCTGCCATGTGTTTACGCAACAGGATGATACATCTGGCGAGTACAAGCGCACCCTGCTGAACCTGTGTGGAGGAGATGATGAGTAAGCATTTTTAAGGGTCTTAAAGTGTGTCATTTTATTACATTTGAAAAATCCTAGCTTTATATGCAGAGATAACTATAAGTGAGCCATTCAAAGGCCGATTCCTCTTAAAAACGTAAAGGGATAGTTCACACAAAAATGAAACTTAATTACGCACCCTCATGGCGAGCTCTTGGATTTCATCAAAAATATCTAAAAAAAAATTCTGAAGATGAATGAAGGTCTTACGGGTTGGAACAACATGAGAGTGAGTAATTAATGAGAGAATTTTCATTTTTGGGTGAACTATCCCTTTAAGTAATTATTTTCTAAAATTGTATTTAATGATTTTAGTGGTGCAGGAATCAGAAAATTCACCTTGTAACTTTGAGTCTTGGCTTAAAGAGTCTTTAAATCAGTGTTGCAGTAACTATGAACATTCAGTAGAGAGAGCCATTGGTCCATCATTAAACAGGACAACATATAGTATCCACAGTTTTGGATATTTAGAAACAAGACATGAGTTTCTATATATACTTTCTTTAAATGTTCTTTTAATGCACGCTACCATTCAAAAGTTTGAGGTCAGTACATTTTTATGGTTTTCTTATGTTAGTCTCTTATGCTCACCAAGGCTACATTTATTTGATGAAACATACAGTAAAACAGTAATATTGTGAAATATTATTACAATAAAATTTTCTATTTAAATAGAAAATGTAATTTATTCCTGGCACAGCTAAATTTTTAGCATCCATTACTCCAATCTTCAGTGTCACATGACATCATTCTAATCATTCTAAACATCATTCATTTAGTGCTCAAGAAACATTTCTTATTATTATCAATGTTGAAAACAGTTGTGCTGCTTAATATTTTCGTGGAAGCCATGATATATATTTTTTTAGGATTCTGTGATGAATAGAAAGTTCTGCATCCATTACTCCAATCTTCAGTGTCACATGACATCATTCTAAACATCATTCATTTAGTGCTCAAGAAACATTTCTTATTATTATCAATGTTGAAAACAGTTGTGCTGCTTAATATTTTCGTGGAAGCCATGATATATATTTTTTTAGGATTCTGTGATGAATAGAAAGTTCAATAGAACAGCAATAATTTGAAATAGAAATCTTTTGTAACATTATAAATGTATTTTTTGATCGATTTAATGCATCCTTGCTGACCCCAAACTTTCAAACAGTGGTGTATTTATGTACTGTACCTCCATAACATACTTTATTATATCATTTAGATGTTCTTGCAGATTTCAGTAAACCAGGGCCAGAGATCAAGAATTGAAGCTATTTTGTTTTTGTCAAGCCCTCAATCCACACATTGTTATTTTGTCAGCACAAAAGACTAAAGAGCTGTTTGTTTCTCAGTATTGCAGGGGAGTTCTTCCCAGAGGCTGCACAGATTGCCTACAAGATGTGGGAAATCAGCGCCATGACCAAAGTCCAGGTTAGAGACCCCCACGTTTTCTCTCAGCGGCATGCATCGTATTACTCTCTGCTCCGGCCAAGCTAGAGTTGATAACTGTGTCATGCACCCTAAACATACAGCGGAGCTTTTGTCTGTGCACAGATAGCATCTGAATGCCACTCGGTTTACTAATCAGAGTCTTGATTTGCTGCCAGTTCCTGTGACACTTTCCCAGTCACTCCATCCCACAGATCTCAGTGTGTCCGTATGTGTGCTTGTGCTGCTGATGTGATGTTGCTGTTAATCAGTTTTACAAATATGCACTGATAGATCAGTGTTAAAGAGTGTGCCTGTCTTTTTTAATTTGTAAGTGTATCATTTTGTCTTTCCTATCCATCACTAGTTAAGAGGAACTGTGCGACCATATCAAAATTTTGACCCCGCAAGTGATGCTCAAGCTCTGAGAAAAGCAATGAAGGGATTTGGTGCGTAAAAACACAGTATGTTATGGTTAATAGAATGCATTAGCCAAAGATACTATGAACTGCAAATATAATATATGATTTCCTGTTATTTTTCAGGAACTGATGAAGATACTATTATTGACATTGTGACGCACAGGAGCAATGCACAGAGACAGGAGATCAGACAGACCTTTAAATCTCTTTTGGGACGGGTACGACACAGTCCTGCCTAGTTTTGTTCCCAATTGAACAGAATGCATTACTGTGGTAACTGTAAATGTGTGTGCATTTGGTATTTTGCTGATTTATAAAGTTGTTTTCCATCAGGAACTCATGGCTGACCTAAAATCAGAACTGTCCAAAAACCTTGAAAGACTCATCCTGGGTCTCATGATGACTCCAGCAGAGTTTGACGCTAAGATGATGAAGAAAGCCATGGAGGTACAGAGAATAAAATTGTAACGGCACAATGGAACCAAACAGAAATCTAATTTGAGCCATAGAAAAGGCTGTTTCATCATTTAAGCAGATCGACCTGCTTTTGCTATTAACCTCTGTGCTCGTTTGTTCACTGGGGGTCAGTCACCTGTCCAAACAAGAGCAGAGGTGATAGTCTCTTTTTACAAGGACTGTTTGCTTTCATGTTGAGTTTCACTGGGTTAGTAAAGAAATTAAGTTAAAAGCAATATTTTAGTCATATGCATATGAGTTTACACATAATAATCTAAAGCAATTTGGTATGAAATACCATGTTTATGCTTAAATAGATTAATTAAATTTTTTTTAAAATAGGGCGCAGGAACCGATGAACATTCATTGATTGAGATCCTGGTCACCAGGAGCAACCAGGAGATTCAGGAGATGTGCTCTGCCTATCAGAATGGTAAATAAAAACCTTGCTTTATATGTAATAATGCATTGTCCAGCAGGCGGCGCTATTTATCTAAACCAGGGGTAGGCAAGTTCGGTCCTAGAGAGCCACAGTCCTGCAGAGTTCAGCTCCAACCCTGAAAAAAAACTCACCTGCCTATAGCAAGTAATCCCGAAGACATTGATTAGCTTATTTCAGGTGTGTCTGATTAGGGTTGGAGCTGAACTCTGCAGGACTGCGGCTCTCTAGGACCGAACTTACCTACCCCTGATCCAGGCTAATCAGAGAAAAAAAATCTGTGTAATGGGGCATTTACTACAACTTGAAGAATCATGTATTTACAGATCTCTGTATCACTGTATGTCTACCCATATATATTAATTTTCCTTTGCATAGCCTATAAAAAAAGTTTGGAGGATGCCATCGCATCAGATACATCTGGGAAATTCAAACGGATCCTGATATCTTTGGCACAGGTACATCTACACAGTTCTTGCATCCAAACACTGACTCACAGTTCATACATTGTGCTTTATAAACTTTATTACTATAAACTACTTTAATCTGATGCTGTTTGTCAGGGAGCCCGTGAGGAGGGTCCAGTAGACATGGCCAGGGCCTTGGAGGATGCCCAAGTAAGTGTGAAAAACTTATTAAAAAACTGTCAACTTTTGTCTTTTGTTTACCAAGTATAAAGGAAATGCCAGAGAATTATCATAAGATTTAGTTTTTCTCTACAATGTAAGGTACTGGCAGATGCATGCAATGCAGACTCCGATGACATGGAGGACAAGTTCATGAGCATTCTGTGCACGAGGAGTTTTCCTCACCTGAGGAAAGGTAATGCAGACACATGTTTGCTACTGGTACACGTGCTAATACATGTTTTCATGAACGCTCCAGCCAACATTCACTATATCTCCTCCAGTGTTCCAGGAATTTGTGAGGTGCAGCAACAAAGATTTCGAACAGATCATAAAGAAGGAGATGTCAGGAGACTTTAAAAATGCCATGTTTGCTATTGGTAAGAACTTTGTCAGTACAATGACCATGCATCAGGAAAAAAAAATGCTTATTTTATTTTGACAAATTACTTTGAATTAGATTTTTTTTTATAATACAGGGGTCATATCATCATGAAATCAGAAATGAATTTGAGTTCAGCATACTATCAAAATTAGTTGTGATTGAATGATGAATTAAATTAAAATAATAAATGTAATTAAGTTTTAGTTAATTTTGTGATGTGCTCTTATCATTTTTATATTTCTTATAGTTCTATTAGCTTTCATTTGTTTTTATTTCAGTTTTAGTAGTTTTTATAATTCATTAAACTTTAAAACTTATTTCAGTTAGTTTTTAGATTTTTAATTGAAGTCATCTAAAATGTTCTAATATTGAAGTTATCTAATATTTAATCATTTTCATCTAATATTTATATTTAAATTTATTTTAGCTTTATTTCAATTAACAAAACACATTTTTTTAAGTTGTAGATTTCGTTTTAGTTAACAATAACAACACTTTGTCAGGGTAACAAATTTAATTTATATTTAATTTAATATTTAATTTAAGGCTGTGAGTGATAAAAGTACAGTTCATTCAATGGACTGTACTGTTGTTTAACAACATACCAATTGTTCAGCTGAAGAAACATCTTTCTGAAAAAAAAAAAAACTTTCAGTAGACAAAAACACCATAAAACAGTTTTGGAAGTTGTGAAAACTACATGATGTAGGACCTTTATACAGTGTTCCTCTGTAAAGACTGTAAGTCTATCCTTCACAGCCTTGTTTTCATCCACATTAAATTCAATATTATGTCTAACCTGATTAAGGTTTATAACAAAGCTGCATACATTGTATACATGCAGTAAAACTGCTACTCATTTTATATGCGAAGAGGTCATCTTAAAGTCTTAAAATTAAATGATGACTCTATTTTCTAACACAAAATCTTGACGTTAAACGTTATAAGGTGTGTATGATATGACTCCTTTAACAATTACATTAGCAAGCAGTGACATTTCTGATCACGTTTTACATACAAAAAGATCATATGACTCCATTCATCTTAAAAAATAGCAATTACACGTGTATATTTTCCAGTGCGGAGTGTGAAGAATCAGCCATCCTACTTTGCTGACCGATTGTACAAAGCCATGAAGGTAAAAGTGCATTATGTAATACACTTTCCTCAACATCTGTCTGTGAGCAGGAGGAACTATCTCAAACAGCTGATTTAGGCCAAGAACATGACATCAGTCAACTCAACGTGCCCATAGAACAAGAAAAAAATCACAACTCGGGTTTCTTTAATATCTTAATTTTTTCTCTTAGACAGCAATGATATGAAAGTGAGAGCAAATGAAGGTTTTTGTCACACATATTTCAATAATGTCTCAAACTCTGCTCAGATTTGATATGATACAAGCAAAAGTCAGAGATCTCAAAACTCAGACATGTGTCATGATTTTTCATCCTACTCTGACTCCTACTGTCTCATAAGAACAATCTGAGTTGATACTGAAATAAAACATAACTGAGGACTCAAATAAGCTCCTTAGCTGATCTCTGAGCAAAATCTTTACTCTTGAGTGATGAATTACAGACACTGATTAAAATCATGCTTTACTGAGTAAGTCGCTCACTATGAACTGAAACTTGATTTATGGTCTTAGTTTTTGTGGGCTGAACACACTTATGTAAAGCAACAGTCATGCAGAGCTCATCTGATGACGGCATATCTAATCCAGCAATGGTTCTCAGGCTTGATTATGAGTCACAGGCCCAGTGATGAGCATCTGCACTATTGCTGATGCTTTGCTTCATAAGCATCGCACAGATCAGCGGTCAGGCCAGAGTTTCCTAAGTGCTGTGACTTTCCCTGCAGGGCCTGGGAACAGACGACAGGGCTCTTATCCGTATCATGGTGTCCCGCTCTGAGATTGACCTCTTCAACATCCGCAAAGAGTTCAAAGAAACCCATGACGCCACTTTGCATGAATTCATCCAGGTAGAAACGCTTGTTGTAAGTTGTGTGTTCCTTCTCATACATCCTGCATGCATTTGTGCAAGTATTACTGGTGCGATCAGACGAAAAGAGAGTTGTGTAGATATTGTGTTTTGTCTTACTGTAGGTGTTGCACATCCTCTTTTGGTTAAGTCGAGGGGAACAGAGTGTTTGACAGGTTCCTGCGGTGTACTCGCTCGACTCAGCTGTTTAGGAATTTCCCCAGCATGCTTGACTTCCTCTCAGTGTGCTGATTCTGATTGGTGGAGAGAAAGGAGACAGGAAGTGTTCAGTAACAGGTCTATACTGGCTCTGTAGTCAAAACTCCCTGTAACAACAATAAATTATACATTTTATGCCATTTTTGGGCTTATTTTGCTATTAGTTGGGCCAGTAGGCAAATAAACCAACCGCAAAACAAGCTAATGCATAATTTTAATTCAAATCATATATATATATATATATATATATATAAAAATCAAAAATAACAGCATGATTTATTTTTAGATGCTTGCAGATAAAGCATGCTGAGAACAAGTCTGTGAGTGTGTTTTTAAGGTGTGTGTGTCAAAAGATTTATTGTTTTGTAGAATTGTGTGGTTTCATAGCATTCTCATTCGCAATTTCAAGCATTATTTCCATGGAAATGCACTTTAGTCTATGAAGGAAGGAAAGTGATCTGTTGCTCTCACTGCTCGTACAGTTATCATGAAAGTTTATACAAAATGCTCTGTAATTACGTAATGCAGTGAATTTCATAATGGCTTAATATCATTATGCAACACCAAACTTCCACTGATATGATTACGATGTACGTTCACCAAGTTATTGGTTATGCTTTTATGCTTTATTCCAAAATGTTTGGTCTCACCAAATCATATTCTTTTTTTTTCAGGGTGACACATCAGGAGACTATCGTAAAACCCTTTTGATTATCTGTGGAGGTGAGGATTAGAACACTGTCCGTTGTCCTGGATCTGTCAATGTACGTTCACCAAGTTATTGGTTATGCTTTTATGCTTTATTCCAAAATGTTTGGTCTCACCAAATCATATTCTTTTTTTTCAGGGTGACACATCAGGAGACTATCGTAAAACCCTTTTGATTATCTGTGGAGGTGAGGATTAGAACACTGTCCGTTGTCCTGGATCTGTCACATGATCTTCATGTCTAGTAACCAGTGGACTGTGTTCCCATTTGTTGTTTGGGAGATGCTAGTCAACATACAGTCTTTGTGCCCTCTGCTGCTGCTGCCATGCCTATGCCAAAGCTAATGAGTAATGACCTATGCAGAAGCCACACCTTCTCCTATTTTTTGAAGTCGTGCACTAAATAAATTTTTTTAGAGTTAAAAGCACTTTTTATGGTGTTACCGTACTACTAGTGCTTTATTTGTTACCCAACATCCTGTTTAAATTGATCACCCCAGAAATAAAAGACGCGATCGTGTTTCAGTTTGTGTTGTTAAATGGTCACCAATGTTGTTGTTTTTTAATACCAAAAGTTGCTTCAAATCTAGTACAAAATGTGGTGATATGCTTCTGAACACAGTACCATGTTTATCATACAAAAGTCAACAAATAAAATTAATTACTATAGGTGCGGTCACAATTTATGTTGCTCAGCGAGTTTTCATAGGTGAAATCCAGTCATTTCCACATGATTAGGAATTTCGGTTCAGGGTAAAATATTCCCACACGCAGATTTTGCAACAGGTTTAAGTTGGTCACTTACACTGTTGACAATAGACAATGGACCTTGTGACCACACCTTTAGTATTTTCATGAATTGCATATGTTCATCGATTTGCACAATTATTATTATGATATACTCTATAGGCTGAATAGGAAAACTGACAATTTAGTTTTTTAAGGCCCATTCACTCCATGGATGATAAATATAAAAATAAAGATGTAGTTAAAAAAATTGTTCTGAATTTTAAAAGAATAAAGTTAAGTCCACACCACAACTAAATGATAACGGCACAGAGGAAAGATATAGTTGGAATCACTTTCAGAATGATTTTTCTCCCCAGCTGATGAACACTACAAACTTTGACAGCCAATCAGAATCTATCCTGCTTTCTCGAACATTTAATGCAACGGAACGTTGTGGACACTAATTTAGTTAACGTTATAGTTATCGTTTTTGGTGTGAACAGGCATTTAATGATGTAGCAGCCAATATTTCCCAAAACAAACTGTTGTTAGTTCAGATCAAGTTTATGCCCACTTAAGGAAAAATCTTATTTTTATGTAGAATGGGTCATGTATTCTTTTATTCTGTGTAGTTAGTGCAGGTGACAAATTAATTTTCAGTTGACAACAGAAGATACAGGAAAAACGTTCCTACTTTTTAAAAGCTGGACAGTTTTGCTCTTCTACCTGTGCTTGATTATATAAGTAGTTGCATTTAATTATTTGCATTTGACATAGATTTTCTACTGATGTTCGTGACCCTTTGATCCAAAAAAATGGAAACCACTGGCCTAAAACATCAAGTATTTCTTTCAGCAGAGGATGCTTTTCACGTCCTTATTTTCATTAGTGGTCTGAATAGCTGATTCGCCCAGATCAGTCATTAACTTTATTTACATTACAGATGCACCACATTAGGAAATTCCCTCCTGTTGTAATCTATGTAACTCTGTTCTTAATAGGAAATATCTGGTAATAAATTGCAGATGGTAAATGTGATATTTGATGTTCGGTAGATTTGATTTACTTTTCAAAAGATAAATCATGCATTATGATGTTGATTAAAAAAGTAAAATGATGTTCTAAAAATGAAGAGAAAATACAGGGCTTGATAGTACTTGCTGAACCTTAGTGTCTGCCCTAAATACATTGCATTTATTGGATTTCTCGATGCACATCACACCTTAATTACACATCATGTGCCATTTTCGAGAGATTTTTTTGTTGTTGGAAAATTGAACTTCAATGCATTTTCTGTTCTCTTGGGCTTCGCACCAGTTTCAAGAGAGGTTTCGCAGTTAGCAGACAGCAACAGTATTGTCATCTGCTGATTTCAGGGTGTGAGTAGAGGCACAAATGTTTAAATGACCCTTCAAACCATCAATTCATTATACTCTTGTCTGCATCTATGTGTATATGTGCGTGCACACATGTGTTTGTGTGTGTGTGTGTGTGTGTGTGTGTGCAGACATGTCTTTGTGTGAGTGCAGCTGTTGTCAGGCCATCTTTAGTTAAAAGAGGAAAGAAGAAAAAAGCTTGTGGGGCTAGAGGAAATCCCCTGCAAGTAGACCAACATCCCAGTCACCATCGATGATGTCTGCAATAGCAATAACATTGTTAAATTCAGAACAAAACATCAAATGCATGGTCATAATGAAATTTTCGACTGCGTGTGAACAGTTGCACATGCAAAAGCAAAGACAAAACTGAACAATCCAGGGTGTTACGAGATGCTTAATGTCAGAGGTAACAAAAGGTTACTATGCAGACAAAACTTAAACAGCATAACATAAGTGTACTTTCTGTTGATTTTACAAAAGCTGCATGCAGTTTTGCATTTAAGAAATGTAAGGTTATTTGTCAGTGCACTTTCCGTTGTGCCTGCAATTGTGATTACTTTTTAGTGGTTTTAAAACTTTTGAAAGACAACTAAAATGCAATTATACTTGTTTTATGACCTTTATCCTTTGTTGAGCTTTATTTATGGGACCATTTCGAGACAAATGCATGTAGACTTATGGTGTATTATAATCCACTAACATAAGATCAGGCATTAAACTGCTGATTTATGTAGTTAGTTTAAATAATTTGATGTAATAATCCTTCACTCCTGTTTACAACATACTATGGCATTGTAAACAGTCAAAATATGCTATGTTACTATTAAATATATCTGTTGTCTGGTAACACTTAGCTAAGCAGTCTCAAGTTCCTTGACGCATACCAGGTCCCACTTTTGAGCTAAAAAAATATCAGGGCCTTTCACTATGTGGGAATTTCCCCTTCTGTTTAAAAACACAGCAAACGCTTCCCCCATTGCCACCAGTTTCCTTAAAAATGCCTCTCGGACACAAGTATAATGTGTAGGTGAGTAACCATGTTTTTTGTTTTTTTTTTATTAATAGAAAGAAAATTGATGTATCTTTTTTAAAGCTTGGATAAAAATGGGAAATTATATCAGTAAATCAGTAAAGTTTGATTCCATAAAAGCTGTGACAAAAGGGAATTTATTTTTTGATGATTATGTTGATTGTAGTAGTAAATTTCAAAGGAAATTTGAATAAAAGTCACCTATTAATGTATTGTTTACTAAAAGGTGTGTTGTCCATTCAAACTGGACCAATCTAACTTTCTAAACAGTATTTAGCTTTTTTAATGGATTCCTTTTTTGTAAACACTATCTTTGAGTGCATTTCATTTAATTAAACAAATGCATATATTTCAGTTGGACACTCATTTGGACACTCTTTACTGTACATGCAGCTGTATAAGTTTTAAAGTTGCTTGATTGTTGACCTCCGGTATTTAAAATAAATCATATTGCAAGTGTTTTTATTGTTTGTATTATTTTTTTTTTTAGGTAACCACTTAAATGTATCATTAAACACACATTTAGATCGCATATGTGGCAGAATCTAGCACGTGTGTGATGTTAATCCTTATACCACAGTGGTAAATTTCCACAAGATGTCACCATTTATTTTCAATGCAGGGTAAGATTTACAAAGAGGATATTAGGGTAATCATTTTGATTTGGTGATGGCTGCCTTATCAATGATACTTAAAAACGGTGTCATAAAGTTGCATTAAATTTCCTGTAAGAATATTATTGCTCTATGGTGTTGTAATGATGGAAACTGAACTCATACTTGGATTACAGGACAAAAAGCTTAAATATAATGGTATCATTGGAAACATGCTGAAAATGACAAACAAATAGACACCCTCTCTTCATAATGGAGAAAAAAATAGATCATAAAGTCAAAACTCCTGACCGCTTTGTTACTGTCAGTAGGCTATTGTATATACTGTGGAATATTTTGACAATAAAATTCCTAATAACCTATGCCAAGCATGTTTCACCCCTTTGCAAAATTGCACCCCTCATCATGACTGTATTTTAAAAGCATTTTCTAATGCATATTTAAAAACGTACTGTACATCATACTGCAGTATAAACACAGACATATAGTGTAGTGATTATGTTAAGAATGCTGAAAATATTTACGATGTACAAACATTTCAGTCATTTGCTTATAATGGTTGAACTTCCAGAATTGGCCAATAATGACAACTCTTCTGTTACCCAATTTAACATCTATTATCTGTTTCCTTGTGACTTTTTTAATTTCTTCATGTACTAGTGAAATTAGCACAACTCAGATTCAAGAAATATTACAGAATGAGTTGAAATTTGTATTTTCATTTTTGTTTTTCATTTTCAGGTTAACTAATGGGGGTTAGAACAGCTGAGATAGCCAATTTAATTTCCTGCTGTTTAGTGAATGCATAGCTACATTTAAACCCTTTATGTTGCATATGTGGGCCAAAAATAATGCACCAGAGACACAATGATATGCATATTCTTAAAAAAACTATTTGTTTTGTCAATGAAAATAAATTGTATGATAAAGTGCAGTTTATGTGTGTCTGTGCCATTGTGTGTGTGTCTAACTTTAGTTGGATCCAGGTGGATTATAACGGTAATAAGTGGGCCTACTCTAAATAAAGAGTAAAGGACGCCTTGCAACTTTTTTTAAAATTACATTTACAAATATAAATCTGAAACATGTTAGGATATCTAATATTGTTTAGATATATTTTACCCACACATGTAAACTACAGTCACATATGTATTTATATTCTATCCTGTTACGAACTACTAAAAACATATTTACAATTTTTGGTAGGCTTTAACGTTGATCACAACGTTTCACATTAGACATTAGACAGCAGAACTAGTGCAGGGAAACATTAACGTCAAATGAACAGCAGGCGCTCCAAAAACGAATCATTAAAAGTTAATGTTCTATTAAAACACGACGATCAATCATAGAATGTGAAGATGAGTCCATTTTTTCTATAGTAGCCTATGTGAGATCAGTCACTGAAATAGTACAGCCACTAAGCCAATATATTTAAAGGGGTCATACGATGCTGCTAAAAAGAACATTGTTTGGTGTATTTGGTGTAATGAAATGTGTTTATGCGGTTTAATCTTTCACTAATTGTACTGAGTCGATCCGAGCGGTTCGTAATAAGAATCGATTCGCAATGATCCACGAACCGAGGAGTGTCCGGAGCTGACTCATTTGAGAGATTTTAAAGGACCGGAAATATGTTTATGACAGATCTTATTAAATTATCTTAAAAAATTGCATTTTTATTAAAGCATACAAAACCTTTGGTTTTTAGTATTGTAAAAGCAAATTATATTTATGTTCTAAATTACATGATGTTTCTACAAGTAAACGCTGGCTGCCACACACTGAACTGGAAACAGGAAATAATAAACACCCTTATTATTATTAAAACTAGAAAAACGTTATTGTGATGCATGCTAAAAAAATGTCTTTATTTGAACGGTTCAGAGCGTGTTATAAGGGACCACTTGATGGCGCAATTACGTTCTGACGTGAAAGAATCGAACGAACCGTTTGAATGAACCGATTCGCGGAAATGAGTCGGACTTCCCATCACTAGTGAACGCGGCTCTGTTTACATCTGCGGAATTTCCCAGCTCGCGCCGCGAACCACTTCCGCAAACCTCCGGCCGATCAAAGACGCGTCTCCGTCAAGGTACAGAAAGAGCTCCTCTTTTCATAAAAAACAAAAAACTAGCGGTAAAATACAGGTATGTATAAACGTTATCGTGCGACCGTTATGTTTTATCCTCTTTTAAGACATTACCGTGCGTATTTAGGTGCTGTTTGTGGCTTTAGGGAGAGCTAGCGTGAAAGCTTTTGTCTGCTAGCATGATAAACACATCACCTGCTGTTAGCCGGATGCTAAGCTAATATCATCACATTTGTTTTGAAAGTGAGTCATTTATTTAGAACACAAAATACGTTGGCTTTGACCTTGTGTGGGTAGGGGCTTTCGGCTCATTCTTAATAAAAGCTTAAGGTTTCCATACCGTGTCTGTTTGAGGTCGTATTGTTAAGTGAAGTCATTTGAGAGCTGTTGATTAAGAGAGCTTGGAGGAGATTAGAAATAAACATGATCCTCTAGATAAGGTTTCCTCTGGTCTAAGGTCACCGTGATGTTGACACTAGTAGAGCTGTTTAAACAGGTCTTGTCATGGAAAGGAAAGTGAAAGGGTTTAGCTTTAGATTTACCTTTAGATTTACTTTTGCTGTGTAGGTATGTGGCTATGTTTTTTGGTGTTCAAGAGCTTGCTATTGAGAAATTGTCTTACTAGGATATGACATCTTGTCTGGTGGCGCATGATTATTCCTTTGTTTGGCTGCTGGTTTTACCTGTCACTTAGCGTAAATGTCACTTGTCATGGTTATATGGGAGTGAGGATTTATGCTGGTCTTGGTTGATTGACTTATTAAATGCTGATGGGAAAATCATAAACTGTTTTAGAATATCTTAATGACTGCTATGACACATTTAGTTAGGAATATGATATCAAAGATGTGCATTCAAATCATTATGTCTTGAAATAGCCAAAGAGAAATCCCCAAGATGCCATTATTCAAATGCCTCTCTTTGAATTGCAAATCAACAATCTTTATGGACTTCTATGCTGTCAGTGCTAATCTGAGAGTTTTGTTTTACCTGTCTGTACAGTACACACAAATGAATGACCTCCTGATTTCTTTGTTTTAGTACAGGGAAACATGTTTGGTAAGTGACGGGGGTGACAGATGGAGGGAAAAGGCCCATATCGCATCTATGACCCCGGTGGGAGCGATTGCCAGGTGAAAGACGAGGCCAGCAGCCTCAGCTACAGACAGCTGCTAGAGGAAAACACCGTTTTGAGGGAGAGAATGAAAGGTCTGAAGAGTTTAGGTGAGGGATTATAAACTGCCTGCCACCTATTTTTAATGCCTTTGAGAATCATGAACCTGATTGATTCCGGCTCATTCAGTTAATATACTCCACCTGGGAAGATTTTATAAAAATCACCTTAATATTTTCAATTTCAACATCTGTCAGTGACTAAGTTGAGGTTACATATAGTTAAATGCCTTACATGTTGCTCATTCTGGGCATCTGAGTCATTAACCCCTTTATTAGTTCACTGGTATCTTGTGTTGCTAATTTAGACTTCAAGGTCTATTGTTGGATCAGAAATGAAGCGATTCTGGATTTTCAGCTTTTAGCAGCTGGTGCCGTGTTGCAGTAACTCCAACATTTGACATGCAATTGTTTCAGGGCAGCTGTTTTTTTATTATGTGTGCTTATGTCATGTAACCCATTGTTTTCTCGTGACTGGAAGGAGACCTGTTAGAGGAGTCTCAGACAGAGGCAGCCAAGCTTCGGAAGAGGGTGGAGGAGCTGGTGCGGGATAACGAAGCACTGAAGTCGTCCACGACCAGCTTTGCCTCCAGTCTTTGCATGGGCACCCCTGTTCAGACAGACACACAAGGTACAGTTATATCAATATTCTGATCAATATTCAATATTCTGACCTGTTTTTTTAACCAGATCTCTTGTGATTGTGGCTTCCTTTAGGTCATGGAAAACATCACGCTTATCCTACAACAGAAAGACAAGAATCTCGGGATTGTTTAACTGGAAATACTTTACAACCAGAGGCAACCGTAAGCACTTCTACTGAAACTTTTGGAAACATGCTATCAAAACGATACCATTATATAGGGCCTTTCGCACCACTTTAGTTCCAGAACTAAATGTACAGTACTAAAGTACTGGGACGATTTTGCGCGAACTATTTCCCAGTACTATTTACATGGTTTCATTAGCACCGACAGTGTGTACTAGGAAGTGACGTAAGCCGGTTGGCAGCGACGTCGTTCGTGCGCAGTGTTCAACAACGGAAACAAAGAAGAACAACGTTAACAACAGGAGGATGGAGGACGTTTTGTTCCTTCGAATTCCTACTGGATTTCCTCCTTTGCGTAAATGTTCAAAAGTGCCTGCACTTCAGTGTCTGTCCATCTATCGCTGTTCTCCATACTTGCGAAATAAGTTGACGTAGTTTTCGTACGCGTTTGGCCAATCAATGTCTACTTGCGTCACAGGTAGTGCCAGTTGTGCTGGTTAGACTGCTCCGGAGTAGGAGCTTATTTGGTTCTCGAAAAAGGCAGTCCGGTACTAAAATCGCACCCAGTTCCGGCGGTGCGAACACGCCATAAAGTGGGTAGTTCCACAATTAGTTCTAGTACTATGAAAAGGTTCCCGCGGTGCGAAAGGCCCTTATGACTTTAAGGTCACAAGTCAATTATGTTATGTAACATAGTAATGTCACTTTCAGTTTTGCGAATTGCTGTTTATTTGATTACCATGTGAAGTAAAAACAGTAAAATACCTTTATGAGTTTATCATAACACGGTATAACTTGTTGAATTACCATTATACCTTTGAAGTTGTGAAAACAGTATGGTATTCACATGTTGTGCAAATCCCACACTGGGAATATAACTTCCAATTTTGTGAATTGCTGGCTATTTTGGTTTGATGTGAACAGTGAAATATCCTTTATGACTTCATATTGTATGCGATTATCGCAATGCACGTGTTATGATATATTCCCCACATAACTGGGCTAAACATAAACATATTGTTTCGCAACATGCTGTATAAATCTAATGCGGATTTAACTTCTCGTTTTAGTTGTAATTTTTCCTCATTTGTGAATGGTAAAATGTTCTTTATGAGTTGGTATTCTGTGTGACAGTCAGAACAAGTGTTGCAACGCTGTGAATTCTTGTGTTTACAGGAAAATTCATCTGAGTTTGAGGTGGTGAATATGGAAGAGAAGACGGCCTCGGAAACGCAGACGGTGAGTTTTAGGGATGTTAGGAAATCCTGGGCAGCTGCAGTCACTCAACTGCACGTGTGAACTTTGTGTGTATTTTGCTGGATTGTTGCTCCGTTTCGAACATTCCATATTCTGTCATTCTGTGCCACGCATGTAAGTCATGTGTGCCACATTCCAGTCACGGTAGTTGCTCAGCTGTTTTTTGCTGCCGTTCCTTATCAGGGATTTGTTCATCATAATGAATCAACCTATCTGTATGAGGCTGTTCCTTGGATGACTCGGAGGGAAATTCCAGGATAGTAGCAGATAGACTGAAAAACTCATGAGTGTGTATCAGTTTATGGAATACCTCTTTGGTTAGGTTTACAAAAACTTCTGTTCACAAATTTGCAAAACTGGAAATGTTTATATAGAGGTATTTAAGGTTTTTTTTCAGTTTATGGTTTCGCAGTGCTCTTCCTATGTATCGGGGATGATGAAGTCTAGATATTGACAGTAAAAGTGCCACTTGATCCCTAGTGATTGGTATTATATGTTGGGTTGTTTTGGGGAAGAATATTTAGGTAAACTCTGCTTTATAATGCAGGCTGGAGTGATTCACCTGCCACAGGAGAACATGGAGCTGGCAAGTCAACTCCGGCGACTGGAGAGTTCTTTTAGTGTATTTGCTGAAGAGTCCAATCCCAACCAGCTGCTGTCTCACCTGGGCCGCATGGCTGTGGAATTCCACCACTTATCATCCAAGGTCCAGAAGAACGAACAGAGAACATCTCTCTTACAGGTGAGATGGCTGTGCTTGTGACACCTTTTAAGCCTCTGTATTGGCTATTATTTGTGTTATGTGAATTAATCAATGTTTGATTTACTGAGAATTTAATTCGCTCTTATCTCTAGACGCTCTGCGAACAGCTAAGACAAGAAAACAATGAGCTTAGGAAAAAAATGGAGGAGGACCTCCAGTATCGTAACATTGATTTTGAACAGCTGAGGTAATTCAATTCACTTTTATATTCATTATCATAAAGTCATCTTTTAATTTACTCATGGAACAACTAAAAACAAAAAAGCCCATTGTGAATCTGTGAGGAATCAGTGTGAGTAAACTGTGAAAATATAATAAGGGGCCACAGTATTTCTCGCTGTGCTGGAACTGAGGGGTCTTTCCATCTGATGCTTGTTCTCTGACTGTGTCAAATAGAGAATCCTGCAATTCTTTTTTTCATTTTCCAGTTTTAATTTTGGTTCTGTGTACTCTGGACAGGCAGGAGAACTTGAAACTGAAGGAGCAGGTCAGCGGAGGAGCCCAAGCAGCACCTATCGAGCAACCGAGCCCAAAGGAGGAGCCAGTGAAAGAAGAGACAACCAAAACTAAGGTGGAAATGACCAGTTGTGCACTTTTTTCCCATGACATAGAATTCATAGAATTCCTGGTGCTGTTCTAAATTTGTGTTGGGGGGATTTTTTTTTTGTCTTTAATTTCCCTTTCAGACCAGTGATGTTGCGGTCTAGTTGCTTTTCTGTTTTGTTAGCTTTTTCAGTGGGAGTTCTTAGAAAAAAAGAAAAAAAAAGAACCAATGTTCAAATTGCTCCCCGGTTTCTAAATTGAGAGGCGTCTTATTGAGTCACTTTTGCCATTTAGATTAGTTTTGGGAATACCACCTTGGTTCTGAATACTGCTCTTCCTCAATGGTCTTTCTGTTGAAGTTCCTCGTTTGTGGGCTTTTTTTCACGGTATGACTAAATATTGAAGAACAATACACATGGTCATTGTGTTGCATTCTGACTCAACCTAAAGACTGCTGTACTGTAGTATGATGGGAAACTTCTTTGGTCGGTCATGAACTAATTGCTGTGATTGATTACATGTTATGTTATCAGTTTTCAGTTTAAAGTCTAGCAGGGATATTTTATGACATTTAAATGGGAAGCTAATTCATACTGAGTTTCAGTTCTGCTGAAAAGATATGGGATGGATACAGATTTGGCCATTATTTATTGGTCACTTTTTATTTGACAGAGCAAGGGATTATACTTTAGTGTCTCTTGGTTTAATATTTTTAAAGTTTTGCAAACAAATTCCACTTCATTAAATATTAACACATTAACAATTTAGAACAGTGGCAAATATTGAATCTTTAAGTTTAACAGTAATAATAAAAAAAACAAGCTCATTTAAGAGCTTTTTCTGATTTTCTCTTTTCATTTTTTTGTCACTGTCATTTATTTATCAGTTTTTGTAAGCCTAAATCTTTGTTTATTTTTGTTTAAAAATGTTAACATTTTAGAGTTGACTTGGTACTGAAGTACTAGTATTTGGCTGCAAATGCATAATTGAAATATTATTATTATTCAAATTTACAGTCTGGTAAAGCTGTGGAAAAAACGCCATCTAAGACTTGCGATCCGGAGGTGTATGAGAAAAAGATCAAGCTTCTGGAGAAACAGAGGAAAGATGTAAGAACTTTTTGAGGTCCCCTGCTTTCTTTATGTTTGCTTTACTGCTGTCATAGTTTCCCATTTGACTCTGACGTGTAAACTGTTGCATTTGACCTTTCTCAGGTACTGGAGGTGAACAAACAGTGGGACATTCAGTGGAATTCAATGAAGACACAGTTTGAGCAGAAGGTACATAACAACATGTACCTAGAAATGCTCTATAAATATGTTCCAGTTGGCCTTGTAACCTTTGTGGCTCACCTTATTGATAGTAAAAAAAAAAAAGAAACATGAATCACGCTACTATGTAACAACAAGTGCTTGATGAGTCCAGCTAGCCGGTGTGTGAATGGTGGGAGATCGAAGCATATGAATCATCACATGAAATTCCTGTATAACGTGTAGGGTGTTGACAGGTCCTGTTACTGCATTTGGGTGGTGGTGGAAATGCTGTTGGGGCAAAGGAATGGAAAGCAGTTCTGTGTGTGTTTCACAGTGTTGCACACCAGACCACAGGCCCCTCCTGTCACACCTCTGGCAGAATTTCCCTCACCTCGCCGGTACCCACTGTCTTCCTGTTGTGGCTCGCCATAGGGGCTGGCCAAGTTTGCAAAGCCACGTGATCTCACGGCCCAGAGATAGTGATGCCTGTTGCATCTCTGCATCTGCTCGGTCTGATAGAGGAGAGAGGAAAAAATAGAAATAAAAAAAGCATACCGGGGCTGTTTTTCTACACGCATCCTCTGTCGTCATGGGGTGATTGTGTTAAAACTCAGAGCAGTGGAACAAAAACAACAAAAAATTTTTGTTATTCTTATTGCTTTGTTTTCCATTTTTGCGGTTTACTATTTTTGATCAATCTTTCTTTGATAAAAATAGATTACAACCCCTTATAAAACTTCTGATAAAGGCACACTCGGGCATGTAGATTAAAACAAATTGTAATATACAACATTTTTGCCCAGTTCAGTGCAGCTCTGTAACTAATGGTCCATTATTTTGTGTTAGAATGGCCTGTTAACAGATGTATCTGAAACCAATTTACAAAAACAAACTGTCAGATGAGCCTTCATCAATTTATGACTTTGCCCTCCTTTATAGATCACAGACCTACGGCAGCGGCTTGCTGACTCCCAAAAGGCTGTGCTTGAGCTCGAAGCAGAACGTGAACTGAGACAAAGAGATTATGACAAAAAACTCCTCCTCGCAAAGTCTAAGATCGACAATGTGCAGGTACACCCTAGTCTCAGCGGCAGACGCCACATCCACAGTCAATCTGTACTTATTACTTTTAGGTGGAGAGAAATTCTGATTTAATAAGTTAACTCGTTTTCCTCTATTCATACGTTGTTTTCTGGCTAGTTTGAATATATTTATATATATATATATATATATATATATATATATATATATATATATATGTATATATATATATATATATGTATATGTATATATATATATGTATATATATATATGTATGTATGTATGTATAGAGACCTCCATGTAAACATAGATGACGGCAGACAGCATCTTCTAGAAGCCCAGGTACTGCTACCAAGTCGCTTGATTTTGAAGATTTAGGAACTTAAGTCTCAACTTGTGAGAGAACTCTATGTAATGGACGCTGGCACACACATCTGTATGAATTTGCTGCTATTTTCAACTTTGTGAATTTCAGTATTTGTATGGCATCTCAGCTGCTGTTGACAAAATAGCCACTGCTAGTCACATTCAAGTATGTATAGAAATAAGGCACTTTAATCAAAATGCCTACATTTTGTAATTAAATGTAATTATAAGTTAAAGGTATAAAGGGTGTAGTTTCTGAATTAGCTCTAGTGGTGCCATACGAATGCCAGTATGTTTATTTCCAACCCTGTCAAGCTGATCAAAAATCGTTATTCTGTTTGGTGGCACTTTAATTACACACTTCACCACTAACACTAAAGTTTGTTCTGTAGCCCACATTGTGGCTGATTAAGTAAATCTTCACCTTCTGTAGTCACAGATGGGTTAAATTGGGGGAGTATCCAATCAATCTGTTCTCAAAATTAGAAGTCTCATTTCACATTAGGGTGATTTGTACAGCTGACTTGCTCTGAGGAATCATACTAACTTTCTTTTAATTAATTTAAAGTTACCTCCCTTGTGTATACATTTAATCATGGAGAAAAGAATCATTTAAACTTGAACAATGTATACATTTTTATCAGTTTTAAGGCTTTTTAAAAATGTGTATTAAATGTACATTCAGAAATTGAAATGCTAATATAAATTTCAGGTTCCTTTTTACATAGATTTAGATCAATCATTTAAAGCCTTTTAATGATGATTGGGGTCTGTTATACTGATAAAATAAAGCTGAAAATGTTCAAATATGAGATTTTTCTAAAGAATAATGTAATAATAATTACATTAATAATAATCTTAATGAATAATGTTTTGTGCGTGTTTGTGTGTGTGTGTTCAATGTGTGCCCTTTCTGGCTTTTAACAGCGTGAGAAGGTGAGTTCTGTGGTAATATTCTACACACTTTCCACTTAAGCTTTGGTTTTAAATCATTTATCATCATATCTGTATTTTAGCTCTATCATGAGGATGAAACTATCTATTTTGTCACTACTTTACAGGAGAAAGAGACTGTTGATTGGTGGAGTAAGTTTTATGCTTCTGTTGGGGAGAGTGAGAGATGCCGCCCATACCTTGACAAAGGTTATGACACATTGGAGGTGTGAATTCTGTCTAAACTGTATGATAACATTGAAATATATATTGTAATGTTACTACATAAAGTATTGCTCACCTAAAGTAAAAGTCGTTCCAAACCCACATGACTTTTTCTTATGTGGAACATGATAGGAGGGATTTTAATGAATGTGCTGGTCACGTATATATATATATGTATGTATATATGTATATGTATATGTCAGCCTGTTATTGTGGTTTAATCCAGATAAACTTACCCCTAAATGAAAAATAAGCTTTACATTTTTGTCAGACAGTCTCTTCCTGTGTAAGTCTTTTTTTTTCTAAAAAAAAAAAGACCATTAATAAGCCCTTCTTTATTTATGTATTTATTTATTAAGAATTTAAATGTTCTTACTCGTTATGGAACATTTAGCTGTATTTGCACCCCTGTGGAGCTCAATGAAGGCTTCAAATAGTCATTCGGTGCTTTCAGTTTTCTCATGGGAAGCACCAGTCATTCCCATTAGTTGACCATATGACATTCTTAGTATATAGCAGTGGTTTCCTTTCAGTCCCGGAGGGGACAGTCAAGCATGCCACAAATAAACTGCCTTATAGTTTTAATGAGTGTCATATATTGTAATTATAATACTGTTGATTTTGCCATGAATATAGCCATTGCTGCTGATATGGTGTTCAGTCATAAAGAAATTTGTTAAGTGTCATAGACATCATGTGACAACTGGTTTCATTTTCACATCTACTGCCTACTTATCTTTACATCTCAATGCTCTCATGGTTTTTAGTTTTTTTTACGAGTTATGGACAGCATTACAAAAGTTTTTTCAGCATGACTCGCCCCCACAGCAGACCACAGATGTTCCATAAGAGAGGCACACCAAAATTTTGTGTCTGATGCTAGTATGTCATACATGCTTGTAGTCATTAAAAATGCATTTTTATGATATCGAAATTGAAAAAATTATGTTGACCACAGGTTTTTGTATTACATGCTTTGAAGGTCATAAGAGTTTCACGTGGGCAGACTGGCATGTGTCGGGTGCTTTGACAAATGCTTGCTTGTGATTGAGTTGTTGTTTTTTTTATTTGAAGACATTATGTATTCAAAGTCATGTGATAATTTCCATTTTGCAAAACATCCTTACAGAAAGCGAGTTGCAGGTAAACCTCAAAGACATCCTTGAGCACCCAAATGTAGCGCAGTAATTTTAACTAAAGAGTGTGTTGTTAGACTTTTTCCTAATTGCAATACAGGAAATGAACTTGCACTTTTTTTAATCTAATTAATCAAAACTATCATTTGATTAAGGTAGCCAATTAATTACTGGTTGCAGCCCTACTGGAAATATGTGACATTTATAGTAAGATGCTTTTAAAGACAGTCCCTCACTTCACTAGTGTCAAACAATAAATGAACCTTACAATATTTTTGACTGTATAAAGTCTAGATACATGTCCAAGTGACTGTGTTTTGCTCTCGTGGCTAACCAGTGTATTTCTAAATGTTGTCTTAGGGCGAGAAGGAGTGCCTCACCTCGGAAACATGTGAGTTGAAACAAAAGGTGCGTTACCTGCAGGACCAGTTGCTGCCACTTACTAAACAAAGAGAATACCAGGAGAAAGAGATCCAGCGGCTTAATAGGGTCAGTAAAGCACACACAGCTTTCCATTGTCATTTAGTTAGGCAGGCACTAATCCAAAGCCCTATGGCATTTGTAAAAGAAATGCATTTTCTTATTTATTTAGTGTACTACCGTTCAAATGTTTGGGGTCGATAAGTTTTTTTTTTTTTTTTTTTTTAAGTCTCATGCTCACAAAGGCTGGATTTTTTTTTTTACTTTTCTTTTTGAATATATATGTTAAAATGTAATTTATTCCTGTAGTGGCAACGCTGATTTTTCAGCAGCCATTACTCCAGTTTCAATGTCACATGATCCTTCCGAAATCACTCTAATGTGCTGATTTGGTGCTAAAGAAACATTTCTTATTAATGTTGTGCTGATTAAAATTTGTTTTGCTTAATATTGTTTTAAATTCAAACATCAGTTCTGATTGTATTGTCTCTTTTACAGGCATTAGAGGAAGCTTTGAACCTCCACTCTCCCTCTTCCACCCAGCCAGGCATGAACCTGGGAGAAGGTGTGGCCAACCTGAGACAGCAGGAGCTGCACACACAGATAGCTGTATTGAAGGAGCAGGTACAAACACTTGAAGACACTGATACATCTTGTTGTCAAATGTTAAAAACAACATTCTTCTTGTCAAATGTTAGTGGAATAAGTGGGGACCACTCTAAATGTTATAATTTATTATTGACCGCAGTAAAATTAGTACATTTGTGTGTCTCAAGTGTGCAAATACTGTGGGGTCACAGTATACACTAACATTGCACAGTGCCCTACTGTGGTCAGATGAGCTCAAAGAGTGAATAAGCTCCTCGGGACGCTTGAGTTTTCTCATTGCGTCAAATTGTTTCGGAGGTTCTCTAGGAGTTAAGGTTTCACTCATTGAAACTACATGAATTGATTCTGCAGACATTTTACCTCATTTATCAAACATGCTTTGTAAGAAATTTGTCAAGGTTCCACAGTGAGTCATAGAGTTTGCTTGAGGTTTGATAGCTTCCTTCATCCTTACAGTCTGCTGAAATGCACCAGTGGCTGCAGAGATCTTGTAGATTTGCATCCTCATCACATGCAATTTTTTTCAGGTGAAAATCTTTGAAGAGGATTTCCGGAAGGAGAGGAGCGACAGAGAGAGGATGAACGAAGAGAAAGAAGACCTGAGGCGGCAGGTGGAAAGGCTGCAGGGTCAATTGACCAATCTGACGAATCAGGTCAGTCACTACACGGACCCATAGACTGTCAGCTCTAACCAATGAAACTACTCCAGAGAAATGCCCAGTTGGTTAATAATGAGACATGAAAGAATCTTATGCGAGTTCTGAATTCACTATCTCTGTTTCTCAGCTTCATCAAGCACAGAATGAGTGTCAGAGAGAGCGTGCCGAGAGGTGTAAACTAGAGAGACTTCAGATGCAACATAAGCAGGTAAATGTGCCACATTGACACCACCTTGTGGTAGAAGCTGTTATTAATACAGATCACAGTCTACAAATGTGGTAGAATCCCTAAACGGAAGACAACCGGAACTTATTTAGATTTTGTTTTTCAATGATTTGGAGGGGCAACAGGAAAGGAGGACGTCCGATCCCACTTCTGGCTCGGCTAATGGCCCAATGAGCCCTCCATACTGTGGCCCGTTTGTACAGGTGGGCCATCAAGGTCTAGAGGGCTGGCCCATACACTTCCCGCCCAGGATGCCTAACATCAGTACAGCACCTGGCAGGGATTTCCTGCCTGTCAACCCTGTAAGTATGCGATAGCAACAGCAGTAAAATGTCAGGGGTTTTGATACCACAACAAAAGCACCCTTATTTAAATATGAATATAAAATTCTAACAAATTAAATTAAAAGTGTTTCTCAAATAAGCATTGCTTTAAGTTTTTCAATTATTCAAGTAAACACTCAGTACTAAAGAACAAATAAATGATTGCGCTTTTTACTTCTGTTAATAACTTAACATTAGTCAAGTCTATTAGGCTGTATTTACACGGCACAATTAATTCAGTTGATTTTTAATTCAAATTTTTTTTTTTTTTTTGCCCAAGAAGTTCATTTTGGTATTTGTTTAAATCAACTTGATACCGAAGTAATAGGTTCGCCTCAAATCTAGTAATACACTTACTGTAACACAGTTGTTGTTGTTTTTTTTGGTTTTATTTCAGAGGAGGTACATTTCGACTCTGAGAAAAATTCCAGTTTTTTTTGCTGATTTTTGCTTCCTTTACATCCTGGAACAGACACAACAGTGTCATTCCAGCATTTTTCAAGTAGTTAACCACATGTGGTATGAAAAAGACATGAGTGGCTATTATGATTTGTACAAACAGGCTTTTACAAGAGGTACAGTGTGTCTTCAGTGTGCAGAAGTGGACAGAGATCAAAACCATTGTTCTCGACATCAATTTGGGTGTTTGTATGTGTGTGTTCAGGGTTTTCCCTGGCAGTCATCCTTCCCACAACCACGTGGTTCCAGAGGACAAGCAGACACAGCAAGACCCCCTCCAGAAACTGCAGGTATTTAATAGATTCATCCTGCGTGTCCTTTCTGCGTCACCAGGATTCATTTTGTTTTGCCACGTAATGTCAGTCTGACCCAGTGATATTTCAAGCATTCTGTCTGAATCAGTCAGCTTCCACTGGAGGAAGTTCAAATGATGACGACAATGAGAACCATGACAGAAGAAACATGAAATGGCAATAGTTTTAAATTTCACAATGATTGTACGAGGCCTATGAAGTTTAGTTTCAGTTTGGGTCTGTCCGGTTATCTGTATCATCTACAGGCATAAATATTTATGTAATTTGCTTTCCATTGTGCATAATTTAGGAATGTAAATTATTCTAAAGATGAAAAAGCTTGTTTGCATACTCTATCAAAGCATAATGTCATTTTCCACCTATGAAACATCATCTCTGCTGAAGTGATAGCTACTTTCCATAGTGTTGTATATACGCACTACCGGTATTTTGTTAGTGGTATAATAACTCAACTTTTACACTTTTGTCAAATCCAGATGCATAAACTCTAATCATGCCCTACATTATTTCCTATTGAATATCCTTTGTTTGCTCAGCAATATGATCTATTTCATGTTGTCAAGATCAAAATTGAATTTGGTGGTGTTTTGGTGTCAGATAATTAATAATTCAGTAATAGTAAATGTTCATTTATTTCAATGAAATATTTAACTTTCTGTACACTAAATTTTAAAATGTAATTTATTCCTGTGATGGCAAAGATTAATTTTCTGCATTCATTACTCCAGTCTTCAGTGTCACATGATCCTACAGAAATCATTCTCATATGCTGTTTTGGCGCTCATTTGACAGTTACATGAAATAGAAATGATTTGTGACAATGTAAACGTCTTTATTTTAACTTTTGAACAATTTAATGCAATTTAAAGTGTTAAATTCAATATTTTAATTATTTACTAAAAAATGTAAACTATGTTTTATAAATGAGGGACAAAGTTAAAATAATCTTGTTTATTTTTTTGTTGGCAGAAATGGGAGCAACTGGATTTGGGAAAAGGGAGCGTCAGAACATAGACCCCGGAAAGCACTAACCACACATTCTCTCTCCTGGAATGGCTCCCAGCTAGTAGCATGATGCAGTTTATTTTCAGTTGGCATGGTGTGAACTATTGTTTCTTTTCCTACTGTGTATATATATATAGCTACCACTGATGAAAATGTTGTTTATATACTTAAGTTTTATAATCCTGTTTGTGAAACACTGTTCTGGCAAATTACGAGTATATACATTTATTATTTTACCTTTATATAATTCTATGCAGGAATTGAAGTCAGTTATTTAATGGATAGTATGATTGAACGTTATTCTTATGACAATCTACCTATAGAGTTAGATCTCCACCACTTAATTGAATAATAGCCACCTGAAAACATCATATTTAGTGATTCCCTGACACGTGTTGGTATTGATTGAGACTGACAAAAACATTTGTATGTGCAATTAGAGAAAATATGTATCTAAAAATTGTAACTCTATAGGGGAATTGTCTTGAAAATAGCTAACCGTAGAATGTGACCGTACTGATTCACGATTCCTTCACTGGCCGTGATTGAGATTGAGTCACATATTGTTGAACGTCTGCGTGTGTCACCATAGGCTGGCGTTACTCTCTGACTGGTCATCTGCCCTACTGTTTATTGAAGCCATATACAACACCTGTTAACCTTTTCATCTATTAGATTATATTCTGGGAACACTTTAATAAGCGCTTCACGTGGCTTGTTGATCTTTCAGATATATGATTGAAATTGAAATGATAATTGATCATGGAGGGCTTTCATCTGGACGACAGAAATATCACGGTAGTTTTGCTTAATATATTTTAAGATACAGTGTTCAAAAACATTATTCCCGATGTGCAAATGGAAGTGATAAGTTATTTACAAGAAGTTCATTTTGGTATTTGTTTAAATCAACTTGATACCGAAGTAATAGGTTCGCCTCAAATCTAGTAATACACTTACTGTAACACAGTTGTTGTTGTTGTTTTTGGTTTTATTTCAGAGGAGGTACATTTCGACTCTGAGAAAAATTCCAGTTTTTTTGCTGATTTTTGCTTCCTTTACATCCTGGAACAGACACAACAGTGTCATTCCAGCATTTTTCAAGTAGTTAACCACATGTGGTATGAAAAAGACATGAGTGGCTATTATGATTTGTACAAACAGGCTTTTACAAGAGGTACAGTGTGTCTTCAGTGTGCAGAAGTGGACAGAGATCAAAACCATTGTTCTCGACATCAATTTGGGTGTTTGTATGTGTGTGTTCAGGGTTTTCCCTGGCAGTCATCCTTCCCACAACCACGTGGTTCCAGAGGACAAGCAGACACAGCAAGACCCCCTCCAGAAACTGCAGGTATTTAATAGATTCATCCTGCGTGTCCTTTCTGCGTCACCAGGATTCATTTTGTTTTGCCACGTAATGTCAGTCTGACCCAGTGATATTTCAAGCATTCTGTCTGAATCAGTCAGCTTCCACTGGAGGAAGTTCAAATGATGACGACAATGAGAACCATGACAGAAGAAACATGAAATGGCAATAGTTTTAAATTTCACAATGATTGTACGAGGCCTATGAAGTTTAGTTTCAGTTTGGGTCTGTCCGGTTATCTGTATCATCTACAGGCATAAATATTTATGTAATTTGCTTTCCATTGTGCATAATTTAGGAATGTAAATTATTCTAAAGATGAAAAAGCTTGTTTGCATACTCTATCAAAGCATAATGTCATTTTCCACCTATGAAACATCATCTCTGCTGAAGTGATAGCTACTTTCCATAGTGTTGTATATACGCACTACCGGTATTTTGTTAGTGGTATAATAACTCAACTTTTACACTTTTGTCAAATCCAGATGCATAAACTCTAATCATGCCCTACATTATTTCCTATTGAATATCCTTTGTTTGCTCAGCAATATGATCTATTTCATGTTGTCAAGATCAAAATTGAATTTGGTGGTGTTTTGGTGTCAGATAATTAATAATTCAGTAATAGTAAATGTTCATTTATTTCAATGAAATATTTAACTTTCTGTACACTAAATTTTAAAATGTAATTTATTCCTGTGATGGCAAAGATTAATTTTCTGCATTCATTACTCCAGTCTTCAGTGTCACATGATCCTACAGAAATCATTCTCATATGCTGTTTTGGCGCTCATTTGACAGTTACATGAAATAGAAATGATTTGTGACAATGTAAACGTCTTTATTTTAACTTTTGAACAATTTAATGCAATTTAAAGTGTTAAATTCAATATTTTAATTATTTACTAAAAAATGTAAACTATGTTTTATAAATGAGGGACAAAGTTAAAATAATCTTGTTTATTTTTTTGTTGGCAGAAATGGGAGCAACTGGATTTGGGAAAAGGGAGCGTCAGAACATAGACCCCGGAAAGCACTAACCACACATTCTCTCTCCTGGAATGGCTCCCAGCTAGTAGCATGATGCAGTTTATTTTCAGTTGGCATGGTGTGAACTATTGTTTCTTTTCCTACTGTGTATATATATATAGCTACCACTGATGAAAATGTTGTTTATATACTTAAGTTTTATAATCCTGTTTGTGAAACACTGTTCTGGCAAATTACGAGTATATACATTTATTATTTTACCTTTATATAATTCTATGCAGGAATTGAAGTCAGTTATTTAATGGATAGTATGATTGAACGTTATTCTTATGACAATCTACCTATAGAGTTAGATCTCCACCACTTAATTGAATAATAGCCACCTGAAAACATCATATTTAGTGATTCCCTGACACGTGTTGGTATTGATTGAGACTGACAAAAACATTTGTATGTGCAATTAGAGAAAATATGTATCTAAAAATTGTAACTCTATAGGGGAATTGTCTTGAAAATAGCTAACCGTAGAATGTGACCGTACTGATTCACGATTCCTTCACTGGCCGTGATTGAGATTGAGTCACATATTGTTGAACGTCTGCGTGTGTCACCATAGGCTGGCGTTACTCTCTGACTGGTCATCTGCCCTACTGTTTATTGAAGCCATATACAACACCTGTTAACCTTTTCATCTATTAGATTATATTCTGGGAACACTTTAATAAGCGCTTCACGTGGCTTGTTGATCTTTCAGATATATGATTGAAATTGAAATGATAATTGATCATGGAGGGCTTTCATCTGGACGACAGAAATATCACGGTAGTTTTGCTTAATATATTTTAAGATACAGTGTTCAAAAACATTATTCCCGATGTGCAAATGGAAGTGATAAGTTATTTATATCTATTGTTTTGACAGCTGAGTGTGGTTTATTGTCTTAAGTAATGTTGTCTTTAGTGTATTGTTTTGTGTCTCCCTTTACATATTGTAGCTACTGGAAGACTGTAGGATGTGAGTTTGTGTGTTTGTGCATATGCATAATCACAGGAAGTGGGCCAGAATAAATAAGTTAATGCATCACATTAGTGCAACCCACTTTCATTGGTCTCGTTTTTGATTTGGGCTGAGCATGAGGAGGAAATAACCAAATCACCAAATGTCTAATTACAATGGGTCCAGTGTTGCACTTAAAAACATTGTAATATGTTTGGAACAGGGTAAGAATCATATCCTTTCTGCTTTTACGGTCATCCGCCATCATGAAGGCTGTTTTCCCGCATATGTGCAATGTCTCCAACCTTACTGACCAATGCTTTGAACCAAACGCAAAAAGGTTTCTATGCTCACAAAATATTCCCAAAGGCGAGCAACTTTCAAATGGTGTGATACATGTCATGTAAATGTAAAAAAAGAAAAAAGGCAGGTATTTATGAATATTTGGTTGAATTTAACCAACAGAGCGAGTTAAGTTTAGTGCTTTCAAGTCGAAATGTTTTTGAGCTGGATTGCACTCTGAGATGTGTGCTTTATTTACCCGTTTCCATCATTTACTGGTTGGCAGTTTTGTGCTTTTTGGAATGACTCTTTTTCTCCAGTGGATGAAAGCAGACCTCGTGTGAAACTTTTGTAACTGATTAGTATAATAAATATATTCCAACTGTCTAAACCTCCAAATGTTATTGTGTGAGAGTTCAAGTACAAGTTGCATCACCATATCTGACATTCCCTGGAACGCAATAACCAGAAGAAAGCATTTTGTTTCTTGCATTTCAGTCTTTATTTACTGAACATCCACAGAGGTGGCAGTAAGTTCAAAGGGTTGTTTAGGAGATAAGACATGATCGAAAAGGAACAGCAAAGCAGCCTGAATGCACTAAAGAGCTGCCGCTGACCCTCGGCCTCAGGTCAGGCACCACAGAGTGTCTGTTTTCAAGCCTTCCCGTCATCAACATGCCAGTCTCCAAACCGACCCCTTGACAGCCTCCGGAAGGAGCAGTCTGAGAATCCTTTTACTTCAATTTCATACTGTTCAAATTCTTGTAACAATAATCCAATTCACAAAGGTTTGCATTTTTTTAAACTTTGCCATGTTATCTTGCTGTTACAGGGTTTCTGCGAGTCGGAAAAAGTCTTACTTCACCCCTTCCACAAATTAAGGCCTTAAATCGCAGTAAAAAGTCTTAAATTCATAAAGTAATGGGATTCAATTTTGCATGCACTTGAAAAAAGATATTTGTTAATTTAAATCAAATTCATTTTGATCAAAAACAAAACTTCTTTTGTCCACTCGCTTTTCTATACATCCTGATTTAAGAATCTTTTGACTTTTGCACTGTAAAACAAGAAATACTGAGGCTCCCTAGACATTAAGAGTTAGAGAACATTGACATAATGTCCTGACATGTTCTTGAACTGTTTTTAAAATGGTTTTAAAAAGTCTTAAATTTACCTTCATAAAACCTGCAGAAACCCTGTGTTAACTAGTTTAACACAGTTTATGCTGGAGAGACAGATGAATGTACAACTAAATCCACTATTTCAAAGTTAATCAGCCTTTTGAACAAGCTGACGGAAGTATTTCGAGATGTCTGCCCTAACTTCAGAAACGTTCACTCTGGGAAACCACCGCATTACAGGTCTGCCGTCTGGACCCACCAGAAACTTCTCAAAGTTCCACTTGATGTCGTTGACTTTGAGAGGTTCCCAAAACAATCTGTTGGTGGGGTTACCGAAGCTGTCTCCCACAGGTGGGCAAGCATTCTGAAAGAGAAAGCGCTCTTAAAAAGAAAGGTTCTTTATCTTTAGATCTCAGATCGAGAAAAGTAGTCCCCAAAAGTATTTGGAGTTTTATTGCAAAATATTAAAATAAGGCATTTATTTGAAAGAAACAGAAAAAAAAAATAGAAACAATTTTCACACAGAAATTGCTAGTAAATTTCACAAATTATTACTAAGAAACATGGAATCGAACGTGAAATTTTGAAGTAGAAAGACTGAGATATTTTCTTGTAAAATGTACTCAAATAATCAGCTTTTTTTTACAGCTTCAAAAAGTGAACATAAGTGCACTTAAGTTAACATAAAACAACAGCTATACTGTTTTTTCATGTTTGTAGATGACACTTGGTTTGATATCATTTTATATTTTTCTGTTGTATTCATTGATTTCATTTCTCTGATATCAATTTGTTTGAATGGGATGGCATGTAGATATCTTAAGAGTCATTTAAGTGTTCTAATGCTTTTTGGGGCCTCTATATATTCCAAAACGGGTAAATAGTTTTAAATTTCAACAATTTCATGTTAACGGACAATTTTGTTTCTTGAAAGCTTGATCCTAAAAGGCTTTTCTTGCACAAGGTGTTGCAAGCAATTTCAGATTATAAAAAAATGCTTTATTAAGCAATGACCGACCTTTAAAATTGTGAAAAGAGCGTGTTCATTGACTCCGTTCACATCCACCTTCTCAAATAACTGGAAATTTGGAACAAATCCATTGCCTGGACGGACATACCTGTAAAGACAAAGAGAAATTTGTTTCATCAAGGGTCTGTCTACAAGGAAAACAAATAGAGACTTTAGAGAGTTATGGCCAGATAAGTGGCTTCAGATATCACTCCAGAAAAGAGCCTTTAGGTTCAAGATATATGATATGTGCAGTAATTTAAAGGGGATGATGGATGAGAAAGACGAGCTAATTGCACACTGTCTGATGCTCAGGTAGTTGTGGCTCATGAGTGATGGCCAGTAACCTCAAGGTTAAAATGCTCTTGAGAAGCCTTAAAAGACTGTGTCTTCTGATTAAACATGAACTCACTTTAATGCAGGAAGAATTTCATCATTTTTTCCAGGCTCTTGCATCCCAAATTGGTTGCATGGAAACCCGAGGATAGTGAATCCAACATCTCGGAACTCCTCTTGTAGTGCATTCAATTCTAAATAGCATATCAATCGCTCAGTCAATACAATTATCATGAACAGGTTTCATATTTGCTCTTCAGTCTTTGCTGTCATGAGGTGTCAAATATATATTTGCACATATTAATTTGCAAACGCAAGTAATGTTTGTACATACTAATATTTTGACATTTATATATATTTTTGTGTTAAGTGAAATAATTTGCATGCTTACCCACATACTGAAAGGTGAGTCCTCAGAAGGTGGCCACATTGACAATGAGGACATGCTTCCCAGCAAAATGGGAGAATGGGATGTACTGGGTCCCATTTATGGTTTTCGCACAATAGTTGTGTATAGTGTCGCCTACACCTGGGTTACAGACCTGAGACAGACAAATGTAAAATAATGCTGTACCACAGTTACAAAGTAGAGAAGCGTGAAAAATGAACATGAAAAATATACCACGCAAAAATTTGAGTCGGTAAGATACTTTAAAAGAATAAAAATGCATACTCTTATTCAGCAAGGGCGCATTGAATTGAAAGACATTTATAATGTTACAAAATACTTTCATTTCAAATAAATCCTGTTCTTTTACCTTTCTATTCCTCAAAGAATCCTGAAAGAATCTATCACGGTTTTCACAAAAATATTAAGGAGTACAACTGATTTCAACAGAAATGTTTCTTGAACAAAAAAAATCTGCGTATTAGAATGATTCGACCAACCTCAAACTTTTGAACGGTAGTGAACATGAAATAAAAAGATTATTTAAACATTGCAGTGACCTTTGTATTCTCAGTCAAAATTGTGAAATCCCAGGCATACCCTTTGTCACTGAGCAAGCTAATTTTCAGGAAAATGGGATGTGACTAATATAAGAGTAAAAAATGAATAAAACTGTAATATCATATAATAGCTCTATTTCTCAGAATAGAAATGTTTTAGGGTTATATCACCTTGAAGCTGTAGTAGTGGATTTACCCTGACCAGGCAAAGTAAATGTTTACCTTTCCTTGACTTTTGCTGTTTGGTTTTTGAAGTGCTTAAAAAGAAACAGCTGTTTTGCTGTATATATCCCTGTACATAAGAGCTGTCTTTTTTTTTTACCCCATTTGTTTAATTATTTCCAGTCTCAGTTACTGTGGCAACCCACTGCTGCTGCATGGTGAAAACAGTGTGCACAATCAAATCACACTGATTTATGGGCTACAACCTAAACATCCTTTCAGCATTGTGTTAAAAACATGCTTTAAAACAGAGATTATACAAGATCATTTGATGTTTCATACCAATTTGTTTCTGTATTTACTTCAATGTAACATGCAAATACTTGGATGTTGTTTACTCAAGACTATTGCTTTAATAAAAAGCAATGCCTTTACGTTAATTCAATACAAATGTGCATTTGTACCTTACTCTCATGTTTTCTATTGCTGGTTTAAAGTTTTATCCAACTGAGCAATCCAGTGTTACCAAAATAGCATAGTTTAAAGACTAAAAACTGCATGATTACTATATGTCTTAACATCTTACCTGGATATTGGATAGTCCACTAACATTGTGTAGAAGACCCACCAAGACCAGAGCAGAGATCCAGGGATTCTTCTGGTTCCCCATGAGGGTGACGTGTGGCCCCTGCAGGGTGTCTGTGTGCAGTCTGAATGAAGCGTGGCTGAGCTGGATGAAAAACACTGAGAAGAGTGACGCAGACAAGCCAATAATATCCAGCCTCATCCCACATATTGACATAGTGAATACATCCATGACTTGTTTTTTTTACAGTTCTAACCTAAGATTTTGTTGTAATCTAGTTTGAAATGAATGTATTTGTCATTTGATTAAAATAGCTATTGTAATGAGGCTTAAAACCCCCCACTAATCTGTTATTTGCTTGACAGTGGTGAAACAGTTGACAGTTATTTTTGTCACCAGTCTTTCATCAGCTCGTCTGCAACACTGATATCACAAAAATCCTGTAACATGCATGCAAACAAACTTCAGGTTTGCATTCACTGTAAAAAATGACCTTTTGAAGTTGTAAATAAAGCTTATTGGAGTATGTTTTACCAGAAAATGATATTCAGTCTTTCTACTTAACACTGCACAGAGGATAAACCTAAAAATGTTTGATCTTGGACTTTGAATTGGACGTTCTTCCTTCCAAGGTGCCAAAATGAGGCCTTTTCTAATGCAACACAACGAAATAAAAATGACAAATTATTATTACTCACCTCGACTCGAGCCATGATTACTGTAGGTCCCTCTTCACAGACCCATCATTTTTAAAATGATATAAAGACCTTTAACTAAAGCAATGAATCCCAGTTTTGTATTTTACGTTGGCTTCCTTTGTTTTTAATAATAATTCATTCAATTCAATAATTTTTCTTTTACTAGCTCAGATGGTACTGCATAGCACTGCACCTGCACATACTGGTTGCTTTATATTCTATGCAGCAGCGGACGGCTTCAGATCATCTAATGTTAAGCTTAAGTATAGTGGAGTGGCAGCTTTCAGCTATTATTTGTCTAAATTATGAAAGCTGTCAGAGTAGCAAAACCACCAGGTGCTTTTATTTTAAACTTGGTTTTCTATCTATCTATATATCTCTCTCTCTCTTTTTCTATCTATCTATCCATCTATCTCTCTCTCTCTCTCTCTATATATATATCTATCTCTCTCTCTCTATATATATATCTATCTATCTCTCTCTCTCTATATATATATATCTATCTCTCTCTCTCTCTCTCTCTATATATCTCTCTCTCTCTCTCTCTATATCTCTCTCTCTCTCTCTCTCTCTCTCTCTATATATATATATCTCTCTATATATATATATCTATCTCTCTCTCTCTATATATATCTCTCTCTCTCTATCTATATATATATAATTTTATTGTTATTTTCACTAAGATATAATAGAAACAATAGTGCAAATGATATATAAGGGCTGTGCAAAATCAAGCACAATAAGTGCAGAATAAATATTTAGGAAAAACTAGGTATTAAACATTTCACTATGTTAAACATGAATAATCCAAGAGGTTGCAGTGCAGTTGCTATGTCAACAGAAACAGGTGTTTGCCTCCATTTGATTAAACTATTATAGTGTTTGCAGAACAAATGACTCACTCACTTGGTTGATTGGTTGGTGGATCTTTTGCACAACACAGACTTGACTTTATAATAAAAATGGACTATGCAGCAGCTGTTTCGTCTAAGATGTTAATTCTTGTGGAAGGGGAAAAAAGGTAAATGCATAAAACATAGCTCAAACAGGCATCCTAATAAAACACACTACGACAGTTTGACTGAGAGGCGGTGGAGAAAAATACAAGCAATTGTACATACAAACATATCTTGGTTGTGTAAGAATAATGGTTACACATGTGATGAGGACAGAAGAGAAGCTACAGGTTCAGGAAGACACCCACAGATGTTTGAGTATGAACAGCAGGGGCGCTGTTGACACAAAAGCGGAAAAGAAGGCGATCAAGTACGATGACGTGTGATCGTTACATAGGCATACTATGGCAAGCTAAAAGGTTCATATTTACGCTATAGATAAATCGCGTTTACATACAAAACGCCGTATTTGACGGTATTAGCGCAGTCAAATACGCCGTACTGATTGCACAAAAGCGCGCATTATTTAGGCGTTTTCCTTGTAGTATAATGAGCCACGCCCGCTGATTTCCACAGCCACTAATATTGAACTGCTCTCACCCAATCAACGATGAACAGAACCAGACCAGATTCATTTACCACAGATCTCCAAAATCTGGGCTTGAAATATTTCTTTATTTGAGTGAGTCAAGTTTGATTTAACAACAAATCTAAATACGAACAAAAAGAAATAAAGAGAAATGACAAACAGTTTGATTTTATTATTATTATTATCATCATCATCACTAGCTTTTATTATTTCGTTCTGTCTGAAGAACGGAAAAACTAAAATTAAGATAGATTTTTTGAATTTTTTGTTTGTGGATAAAAAATGAGCTTATGCATTTGTGCGTGAGCTGAAACGCCACCTTTCAACTCAGCGTGTCTTTACCGTCTGTCCCATCAAGCAGAATCATTTCTTTTTGTTCATATTTAGATTTGTTGTTAAATCAAACTTGAGTCACTCAAATAAAGAAATATTCCAAGCCCAGATTCGGTATTATTAAAAAAATAACTGGTTTGATCTGATCATCTTAAACAAGTCATATCCTCTGGGTCTGAGCTCAGTTATTGGATAGCATATTGGGGAAGCTTCAGTAAAAATATTACAATACATTTAAAACAGTGTCGTTTTATAACTCCAGCAGCGTGCAGATGCTCGTTTATGTCAGGACTGCGGCAACAGCAGCGCAGACAATCGCTTAGTTCGCTCACATAATGTAATCTATAAAGGAAAATCATATTGTTTTTTATTATACCGTTTCATTGTTTGTAGGCAAAAAGTATGCTAAAAACGTGGAATCGGCCTATGTTCAATGTTAGTAGAGATGAAAATATACAAAAAGTTACTTTGTACATAAATATTTCCTATCAGTTCACAGGCACTTCTTCCACTAAAATGATCTGTGGTAAATGAATCTGGTCTGGTTCTGTTCATCGTTGATTGGGTGAGAGCAGTTCAATATTACTGGCTGTGGAAATCAGCGGGCGTGGCTCATTATACTACAAGGAAAACGTAACGCTCGCTTTTGTGCAATCAGAACGGCGTTTTTTACGGCGTTAAAAGCGGCGCTTTTTACAAATACTAAAACGCCATTAAATACAGCGTTTTTTACGGTTTACGTGCATTTTTTACAGCGTCTGCTATCAGGATGGCGTATTTGACGGCGCTAATATTGTTTAAAACCCCCGTAAAAAACGACGTTTTGTATGTAAACGCGATTTATCTATAGCGTAAATGTGAACCTCTTGGCTTGCCATAACATAGGGCTGTTAGATTCTGAAATTTTTGGAATCGAGTCCGATTCCGATTTCTGGTTCTGGAATCGATTCCTCACTGTTGTTTTCGATGCTTGTTTATTTAGATTGAAGGAACCTAATCTCACCATGATGACTGCAGGATAAAGGTAGAAAGTAGCCTTCTTATAACATAAAACATTATTTGTAAAAAAAAAAAAAAAAGACAATAAATACATTTTAATTTTATCTGCTTTGCCCGTGAAATTAGTCATAGCCCACAGCTCAGCAGGGACATGCGTTTATCGCATGAATTGAACAAGACATGAAGTGTCTAAAATGTGCACAGTTCAGCTGAATGATGAAGTTTACTTTGACTGCATGCTTTGCACAAAATTAACAAACTGTATACTGAAACTAAATAACCAGAACATTAAAGTGCCCCTATTATGCCTTTTCGAATATTACCTTTCATGCAGTGTGTCATGTAGCTGTATATGTGAACATAGACTATCTGCAAAGTTGTGAAGCCGACAGTGCACGATAAATAAAGTTATTGTCTATCGAAAAAAAGAGAGTCGGCTCACAATCGCCTAAACCAGGCGTCAGGAATTCGAATCTTATGCTGTTACGGCTCTACGTCACGAAGTAACACATTTGCATAATGTCTGCCCCAATGTTGGGGAGTAGCTACATTTTTCAGTAGGTTTACAGTAGCGACGCTACTTTTAAAACAGTGTAGCTTTTCCTGTAGCTAACTACTTTTGAGAGTAAATTTGTTTTATCACATCTTATAAATTACCACAGACTTGTTAACACTTGACACTTACCACTGAGAAACGTCCTGCTCCAGTCGCGCTTGCGAATCAGTCTCTTGTCGATCAGCCACTTCAACCGTTTTATCATCAAACTCCGGCTCGAATTGATAAGGTACAATCCATACCATCTTTTCTATGTATTGACAAGCCTCCAGGGCGTCATGGCAATGGGCGCTTCGTTTCCGACACGCGCTGTACACGGTAGACCAACCCAGAGCCAATCGCTCTACGGCTCTGGACCAATCACAAAGGACTGCGCCATCTGACCAATCACAGCAGTGAGGGCTCACAGAAAGGAGGGGTTTAGAGAGACTGAATCTTTGAACTGCTTCGCATGAGTCGTTTACGAATCATTTAGAAATGAGGTAAAATTAAATCTATTTTTTGAGAAAACTAACGTATTTTTTGACCTTGCATGCATGTAAACATGTTTTAGGAGACTCATAAAACAATATTAGCAACCTTAAAAATGGCATAATATGGGCACTATAGAGCTCGTGGTTTATCTGTCAATCAGATGCGCTCTCGGCCACTGATCTATGCTCGCGACGGTTTTCTTTTAGAATTATCATTGGCTGATAGAAATGTTTTAAAAAACAGTATTTTAGATGGAAATAAGATCAAGACCCTCGATCCCGTCATGATCTATTCTGTCAGTTCCACCGTAAAATAACCTCGGAGTCGTTTTTTTGAACTGATTCATTAAAATTATCCGAATCAGGAAAATAATCAGACTTCTAATCACTTTTAGCGAGTATGAGGGAGGCGAATGGTAGTAAAAATATAAAGAAAATCTTATTATCTCACAACTCTCTAATTACGGCTTTTAGCGAGCATGAGGGAGGTGAATGGTGCTTCTCAAACGGAAGGCTGCATCCTAAAATTCAGATGATCTCAGTACCGACTCGTTTTCTTTCCGTTTATTTTCGTGAATTTAAATGTGTGCAGCCTTCCGTTTGAAATGCACCCATAGATAAGCTTCGTTGAACTGAAAAAGGCTCTGAATGAGGAATCGATTCCCCTTGATGGGATCGACTCTCGATTCCTAACGCCTCGGAATCAACTCTTTTTGGAATCGATTCCAAGCCCTATGTAGGCAGCAGCAGGAACTCAGTCAGAAATGGCGACGTTGCTGCAGCCAGAGAAAGTGCTTTATCTCGTCCGAGGCGAGAAAAAGATTCGCGTTCCGCTCTCTCAGCTGTATTTTTGCCGATATTGCAGTGAGCTGCGATCTTTGGAATGCGTGTCACATGAAGTAAGTAACGCGGTGTGTGACATTTAGTTGACACAATAGATGTTAGCCATGCTAAGAGCGAGCTAACAGGCTATTGACGACAGTAATGTACCCGCCTATCGGTTTAAGTGGAAGGAATTCTGGTTCTGTGATTGGCTAGTTTTTCCTTCCGTCATAAATTATACGGCGATAGCGCTATCCAATTGGCTGTGAAACCAGTCAGTTAACTTCTGCACCACCCACTTTTTTTAGGCGTTTGACAAGCTAAGCTAGTAGAAGTATTCTGAATGAAATTAAAAAAAATCAGCTGTTTTCGTTCGTTTCCGTTATGTCGATTAAAAGACAAATGAGGTTCTAAAATCAATGTGTTAATGCTTGCAGCAGCCATTCGTGTTATTTTGAGGGCATAAACACTACCACACCCTATAGAGACAGCTTGGGCTATTTTTATTATTGTTTATTTATTTATTTTAATTAAAAAATCAGCTGTTTTCGTTCGTTTCCGTTATGTCGATTAAAAGACGAATGAGGTTCTAAAATCAATGTGTTAATGCTTGCAGCAGCCATTCGTGTTATTTTGAGGGCATAAACACTACCACACCCTATAGAGACAGCTTGGGCTATTTTTATTATTGTTTATTTATTTATTTTAACTAAAGCAATGTGTGAATTTGACATGATTCAAGTTCCATTTAGCCTTTCTCTACTTTTCCAATACATTTTCTTTTGAGCAAAAACACATTTGCTTGTCTAAAAATATTGTTTTGGTGTTCTGCTTGTTATATAGGTCGATTCCCATTTCTGTCCCAGCTGTCTGGAGAACATGCCGTCAGCTGAGGCCAAGCTCAAGAAGAATAGGTAAACCACATCTGTGCTAAATATCTGACAGGCCTGTGAATGAATAACGGAAGAAATCTCAATCATCTAACATCATCTGTAATTTGACATTGCCATTAACTAATTACATACTTGCCATATAGAATTTTTGGCACATTAAAACTGGCTGCACTTTTCCTGTTCAAGATTCAGTGATTTACATTTATTTAATAAACAGACTATGATAATATTATATCAGGTCAGATGGACTGTGTTTCCTCCTAATGATGTTAAATGCTCTGTGATCCACCGGTTTCAGGTGTGCCAATTGCTTTGACTGTCCATGCTGTATGCACACTCTCTCCACACGGGCCACCAACATCCCAGCACCACTGCCTGATGACCCAACCAAAACCACAATGAAGAAGGCCTACTACCTGGCCTGTGGATTTTGTCGCTGGACCTCACGAGATGTAGGCATGGCTGACAAATCTGTGGGTGAGTTCTGGCACTTCCTGATGTGGACATATGTACCAATGTCAGTATTGGTTCATCAGTAAACCCAGTTGATTTTAACTATAATCATTATTATGTTGTATTGATGTAGGTTAGTTTTACGCATACTATAAATATACATAAAAATCTTCTAATGTTCTGACCAGAAGTGATGTATTTGCTTACTGTAATTTTATTGACAACGCTGTGTAAAGGGTCATAATTGTAGCTCATCATCACAGAATATGAATTCTAATAATAAGGATTTTGGGCCAATTATATTTCACTCTGGGCTGGAACATGACAGAAATAGAAGCAAGTGACCAAAAATTTTTGCTCACATTTTGCTTGTCGCTTTGTGCCTGGTTAGAAAATTTTAATCTGCATGCACATTGTAGTAAAACGTTGTTCTTTTGATATATTAGCCAGTGGAGGATGGCAGGAGCCTGAAAACCCTCATACTCAGAGGGTATGTCTAAAACAAGATATCCACTTATTAAATTAATATTACATTTTCCATCGAACTGCCTCAAGTAGTTGACAAATCACTTATTATCTCTAAATAGATCAACAAGCTGATTGAGTATTACCAGCAGCTGGCCCAGAGAGAGAAGCTGGAGAGAGACAGGAAGAAGCTGGCACGAAGACGCCCGTTCATGCCTCAGGCGTTCTCGGTAAACACTCACACCACCATGTCTAGAAACCCTTCTAACCTAACATTTACTTTCCTTTTAGTAAGCACTAAATGGGTGTGGTTTGTCTTGTCTAGAGTCTAAACTTGGCCAGTCTCTTTGTCTAAAAACTTAACTTGCACTGAAGTACTGCTATTTTGTGTTGTAATTTTTTTTTTAATTGTGAAAGTGTAATAAATTAAATACATTTTTTGCTAATTTTGTACAAAACTAAAATGTGCAATTTGTTTTTACATCTTTACTTAAAATTTGCATCAAAGCTGGCTAAGTTTACTAAACCTACCAGGATCTGAAATGTGACTACATAACATGTTTTTTCAATTGTACATATACATTAGTTTAAAAGTTAGGGGTTAGTAAGATTTTATTTATTTGTTTTTAGCAAGGATGCATTAAATTGCTCAAAAGTAACCGTAAAGACATTTATTTTGCTACAAATGATTTCTACTAAAAGAAACAAATGATGTTCTTTTCATCAAAGAATCCTGAGAAGAAATGGTTTTCACAAAAATATTAAGCAGTCCAACGGTTCACCAAAGCAGCATATTAGAATGATTTCTGAAGGATCATGTGACACTGAAGACTGGAGTAATGATGCTGAAATTGTAGTTTTGCCATCACAGAAATAACTTGCATTTTAAAATATACTAAAATAGAAATCAGTTATTTTAAAATGTAAAATTATTTGTGATCAAATAAATACAGCCTTGATGAGCATAAAAAGTTCAAAAATCTTACCAACCCCCAACTTTTGGACGGTAGTGTATTTGGAGAAATGAGGGCTTCAGATGGTTAATTTCTAACCCTGTAATACATGACTGGATACTGACAGCACTTTGAGCTGCATGTCTTATTTACTAATGCAATCCTTGTTTCCTTGTGCTTTAAACTGCCACTTTAATGTTTGCTTGAATGCATTTGTTTCACTTGATTCTGTCTCTCTCCTTTTCTTTGCTTGTGCACGCTGATATTTTTGGTTTTATACCCCTCTCCAGCAACACACAATTCACGTGGTGGTGAGTGGTATTTTTTTTCCCCCCACAATTCTTACAGAAACACTAAGAAGGTCTTTCCCCCCCCCATCCTTCCATCAGTTTAGCATGTCTAATCTGTTACTAAATGACTTTGCTGATCACATGAGATTCACTAATGCTACTTGGAATTCTCTACACAATTGAATCTTTGTATTTGGCAGGCAATGGCTTTAATAGCACAGTCCGGGATGGCTGGCATTTGTGTTTGGAGTTTATTAATGATGCTTGAAGTTTAGTTGCAGACCTATTTGATTATTTAGATTTAGAACAAGATTTCACCCTGAATCAATCAGTTGGTTTCTTGGAAAGCAAGTTTTTAGACAACATTTGTACTTAAACTATGGTTAACTATTACTAAATGCACCCTTTCAGCAAACAGTCTGACACTAGCATTCATCTAACAATAATGAGCTGTACCTTAAACCTAGAATAACTCTTTATTATCATAGATTTAAGTGGTCTGTATTTATGTCTGAAAGGAGAAGTATGGACTGGGAACCAGACTACAGAGACAGAGATCTGGAGCCCCAATCAGTGCCCTGTATGGTCTTTCGTAAGTATTGCCTTTCAGAACAATTTGATGGTTAAGGCAGGTATTATTATGTTGAGTACCAATATAATTGATGCATCACATTTTAAATTATTGTGGACTTTGTCTAAATGATGCTGTATTGTTCTCAGATTAAAAGAAGGAGAAGACCAGAAGGAGATCACTATAGAGCCAGCACAGGCTTTGGATGAAGTGGAACCCCTGCCTGAAGACTATTACACCCGCCCCGTCAACCTTCCTGAAGGTTGGTCTCATACCTGCTTCACCCAATAATACTACTTAATTATTGTTTTAATCTGATACCATTTTAGTGCAGTAATCGCAGGCACAGCCATATAGATCAAGACATACAGGTGTCATGGGGTGATTTTGGAAGTTGCATGTTCAGGATCAAATGTGTAAGAATTTAAATTGATATAACTGAACCAAATTTTCTATTTTAAGGCAGTGATTTTATGACTAGATCTTTATTGACATGGTTATATGATGCATATTTTAAACATTGCTTGTGTTTTGATACAGTAACGACTCTTCGCCAGAGGCTGCTACAGCCTGATTTTCAGCCCGCAGGAGCTTCACAGCTGCACCCCAGACACAAGCACCTGCTAATGAAACGCTCTCTGCGTTGCAGGGTATGTAAATACATCCACTGCTTCTCTTTCACTCCAGAGAAAGCCATTCAAAATGCTGTCATTGAATTACTGAGCTAAAATCATTCAGCTTGTTTTTTTTTTTTTTAAATTTACACTACTATTCAAAAGTTTATGGTTGGTAAGATTTTTTTGTTTGAAAGGAGTCTATTATGCTCACCAATGCTGCATTTATTTGAGCAAAAAAAAAAAAAGTAATGTGAAATATTATATTAAATATTAAAAAAAATATATATATTTTAAAATGTAACTTATATGCTAATTTGGTGCTCTTATTATTATTTGATGAATAGGATGTTCACATGAACTTGAAATAGATTTTTCTGTAACATTATTATAACGTTTGATCAATTTAATGCATCTTTGCTAAATAAAAGCAATCATTTCTTTCAAAAACAAAAAAATCTTACTGACCACAAACCTTTGAATGGTAGTTTATATCTGAAAAGCACATTTGATTTGATATTTGTATTAAATTCCCTTGAGCTAATCTGCAAATCTGTTAAATAACACTTTAAATTACTGTTAATTACTGTTCCTCATCCATTAATTTCAGAAATGTGAGCACAATCTGAGCAAACCAGAATTTAATCCAACCTCAATAAAGTTCAAAATCCAGCTTGTGGCAGTGTAAGTCATGTGTTTGTGCCCTGAATTATTTTATTTGCTGTTCTTTGAGTGTGTATGAAACCAATCATCTAAAGATTTGTGTTCTTTTTTTACAGGAGCTACATTCCTGAAGTGAGAATCATGTCCATTCCAAAACTGCGTCATATGAAGGCAAGTTTGATTAATGTTGGGACACTTAAAGAAATGATGCCGTTTATTTGTTTTCTGTTTTTAACAAATTAATAAATAAGACTATTTGAACTTTTGAGGCTTAGTCTGGTTACACTTCTTTGTCATTTTAAGTTCTAGAACTTTTTACATTTGTAAGTAATTGTAGTGTTTTGTTGTAATACAGGAGAGTCAGGTTCTGCTGACCCTGACCAACCCAGTGGAGAACATCACTCATGTGTCTCTGTACACCTGTGAAGAGGAAGACCCAGATGACATTAACAGCACTGCTAAGGTAAAACACCACAACTCAGCCTATATAACTACCAGTACATATGAATTATAGTGATTTAAATTAATTATAAGCAGTGTATACTGTATGTCCTATAACAGGGGTTTTCAACCTGTGGGGCACGTTTCCCCTGTTGCACCTGTCCAGGGGCACCTGTCAAGGGTGGCGAGAGCATCAGTTAATTCAGAGACGTTCCCTTGAGAATTTATGAATATGAGTTAACAAATCTTTAGCCATCCACTAGGGGGCAATCTGCCTCCCACTGCTAGTCGACAGTTAGAGCAGAGTTGGCTCGAGTATCAGTCACGCTCAGTGTTGCCAAGTCTGTGGTTTTCCCGCGGAATTGCGCTACTTTAACACTTGCCACGTTTTGTAGTTTTGGGCTGGTTTTGAGTAGCAGTTAGGTGGGTTTTTGTTGTGAAAACCTGGCTTCACAACAAGGTAAACTCTCTACCACCGAGCCACAGGAACACAATTTCCTTCCACTATCATAATTGACGAATCATAATGCTGATTACCATAAAAAAATAATTGACCCTGGTTATTGTTAAAAATCTAAAAATTGCGGTTAGATTTAAGGCATTTACAGTGAAAAGTAAACTGGGTCAGTATTCTCAAGGACTTAAAAGCTTAATTGTAAGTGGTTTGACACAAATATGAGCTTTATAGGAATTCATTTCTTAACTTTCTTTTTGAAGTGGGAATACTTTTCTAGATTAACTTCTGTCTATGCATTACAGATTTAAATCCTGTGCATGGGGTCTGTATATTAAAGCAACTGTATGTAGTTTTGTGTATTTTTGTGACTTGAGCTCCCTACAGTTACAACAGTGAATTCTATTTAAGTATATCACTGTCGTAATTACAGTAGTTAGCTGTAAATTAGCTCTTGTTGCTGCCGTAAAGCAGTCCACCCTTTTTGTGGAATTTTGTACCGCTCTAAACAAACTTGCATACTCCTAAAACAGATGTTTGAGGGGAAGCGTGGGGAAGAAACCGAAGCCATTCGCTTTATTAGAAGTCAGTGTACCATCAGAATGATTTTGAAACTGATATTTCAAGGTAAAAAAACGTATGTGCAGCATATAGAAGCTTTATTTTTGAGCTGAATGCCAAATTAATTTCCTCTGATAATCACTATTATGCCACAAATGCTGTTGATAGAGCAGAACTTGTATTATAGATTAACTTTTAAGTTTGCAGCTACAAGTTTAGTCAATATTCTTGGGGCATCTGCTTTTAAACATCTGATAGCATCGTTTCCTGTGTTTTTGCCGTTCATGAATAACAGTCTGTACTCTTTTGTATCTTCAGTGTGGTAACCTTTAGAAAGTCGAACAAGATTGGCTTCTTCATCAAAGTGATTCCACAGAGGGAGGAGGGTGCTGTCACTGTCGCTTTCAAACTTCGACATGACTTCCGGAACCTTGCTGCTCCGATCAGACCCACTGAGGAGGGAGAAGCCACCAGTGAGGCCATCTGGCTCACACACCATGTGGAGCTTAGCTTGGGCCCCCTGGCAACTTGAGAACATAACACACGAGCTACACACGCAAACTTAAACACACTCTGACGCATAAAGGGACAATTTAAACAACATGTGGCACTAAACTCACAAACTCTCTTGCTCATAAAGATGTTCATTATCTTGACAAAGTGAGTGTAAATATTATCAGGCACACATACATCACTTACAGGAATGCAGTTACTTAACAGTAATCACACTATGCCTACACTTATGCCAGATGCTTTGCGCAGTGATCTCTTTCTCGCTCTCTGTTTCTAGTGCCCCCTGCTGACGTGTTTAACTGCATGTGATTACAGTGACATCACCTACTGTTATATTTCATGGTTCCAACTCCAGTTCTTCTCAGTGAGTACATTTACATCGACAACAATAATCCGATTTTAACACGATTAAGACTACCATCTACCATGTAAAGTGTAAACAGACTTTTGATTACCTTAATCCGGCTAAAGTCATACTCGAAGTAAACAGAAATCGAATTAAGGCATGTGGAGTATTCCTATTTTAGTCGCATTACTGAAGTGCAGTATAGACATGTAAACACCTTAATCACATTATTACTGTCATGTAGGATTTTTCGCCGCATTTTGCGACAGGATACACACACACACGGCAGTGGTCAACCGTTTGACGGCAAATAAAAGAGCTTCAACACCATCGTCTGTATGCGCGTACAAATAATTAACTGCACTTGAAGCTTTCATAAAATTAAAAATGAAACACCCAAAACTGTACATGGCTTCATCATGAAGACGAACTATATGTTTATACGTGAAATTCCGGAGGGGATGTCGGATGGCATCACGTGGGGATGTAATGACGTGTGCCATTAATCGAACTATGTATTATAACATGTAAAACGGGAACATGAAAGGAATATTCTAAAAGCAACTCATGTAAACACCATAATCATAATATTGGCTTATTTAGAATAAGGTAAATAATTTGATTACTGATGTCCATGTAAACTTAGTCACTGTTAATAAAGATATTTAGATTAATGCTTCATCTAGGTTTTATGTTAATTTAATATTTTGTATTTGCTGTAAAACAAGTAAAATGTTACTTGCAATTGTGTGGCACTAATTAGTAACTGAGACACAGTCATTGGTAGTGAAACACGTTTCACAACCAGCTCCTTTGTCCCGTCATCTGTATTAAATCAGAGGGTGAACACCAGTGCATTCAGCTTTATTTATCTGTCTCATGCTAGTAGCTGGAAGTCCTGATTTAGTTTCTAATATGACCGCCTTAAATGTGGTTGAGCAGTCTTATCCAATAAAATATGAGAAAAGTGATGGATCTGGGTGTGTTTTTATTATTATTATTATTATTATTAATGGTTCAACGGGGCTGTTAAGATATGCTGTGTATAGTAGCCTATTGATTTTTACTTTATATTCTGAAAAGAACATTTAACATTTACTTAAAAATAATAAAGGAATAAGCCTTTTTAAACTTTATTTACAGGAACTCCCCCCCCCCCCCCCCCCCTAATTTCTTTTCAATTTGATCAAAAATAAATCTAATAATTTATCTATATGGCTTTCTTCTTTTTGGACACTCATTTCATTATAATAAAAGTGAACGGGGACTATGGTTTAAATGATTAACCATTAAAACACCATAAAAGTAGTTGCACTACAGCATATTGTAGTAGTATGCTATTCCGAAGTCATCCATACTGATCAGGATCTCACGTTCAACTCATTGACTAATTGATCATTCCTCGTTTCCTAGCTCCTCCCTCCTCCACCCCATATCAGTTCGCAATCATTTGTAATAGCATACTAATGTTGTATACAGTTTTTTCTTTCTCTTATTTAAATCTACCCCGAGGAGAGAGCAGCTGGGAAGGAGAATTCACAAGCGCGTCCTAAGCGGAAGTCCAAACACCTGACTCACGTATGTGCACGTGACACAGTTTAAGTCACGTTTTACCTTCGCGATTTAATTAGGCCTTGTATTTCACATACTTCAACAGTGCATCTTGTTTTGATTAAGAAAACATCTTAATTAGCTACATACCAGCACGCTAAACGCAACTGATGTCAACAGCGTTTCAATGAGCAATATTCCAATACGTCTTATTTTGGATCATTCTTGCTTCTTATCCTTGAATAATTGAATGGGTAAATTAGAACTGGAACGACAAGACGGTGAGCAATTAAAGCGTTTACATTTTGGGGTAAACTTTTACCAGTAATATTCATTCAATGTTAGATGCTGTCCACTAGATGGCAGTCTATCATGCATAAAATGTATCCTGGTCTTAATATTTGACATTGTGCAGTCAACAGACCGGCCTTTCAAGTGTATGATCCGTATATGACTTACTTCACTTGACAGCAACTTGTTACGAGTTGTTAATAATATCCATCAAATTAAAATTCAGCAATTTATCTTTGCTGAATGCATGAATGTAAACTAGAGGCTTTAAAATGGCCTTATGTACAGTGTTTAGAGAGCCATGCTAAGAAGAATCTACTTTCCACAGGCCTTAATGTGCTTTTAACTACTGAAGACAAGCAAAGCCAAGAATACATTGACTTAGTCAATGGAACGATTCAGAACTGTGAGTCTGTACTGTCTGGCTAAACATTAACGAGGTGTCGTAATTTGTATGCTGGCTGGGTGCTGCAGGTTCATATTTCTTTGTTGCTGTGGCTGATTGGGTGTTGAAAGGAGCCAGAGGGTGTGGAGGGATGCTGCCGAGATGCACATCCTCCATTGCTCCCTGCAGGCTGGGTAGTGCCAAAACCACACCACATCCCTCTATTACTGTTGATGGGGACTGAGGTTTATTTTGGGTTATTAGACAAGAGGGTGCATGGCTGGTTTGAAGGCAGGACACATGGTAACATAGAACTGGAACAAGGTTGGACCTACCTTTTGAGCTCAAACGGATTGAAGAGCATAGAAGGCATAATGAAACAAAAAACTGCATCCATCAGACTGCCTAGCTTAGCGTAGTGAGCAATAAAAATTTAGATTAACTGTGTAAAGTTTATGATATTAGATATGCAAATTCTTCTAAGGCCTCTAAGTTAGAAACATTATCAAAACTTAGCTGAAAAACTGTTGTTCACAATATACTACATGCCTTCTGTGATGTGATTAATAGTTTATTCTTTTTTTTTTTTTTGTAAGTAAAAATTCTAAAAACATCCCCCTCAGGGCATGATGCACTTCTTTTTGCTGTGAAATCTTTACTTATTTTTTTTTCTAAAGTAAGAATAACTTTTTTTTTTAAATTTATGCTGTTATTGATATTGTAAGATGAACACTTGCTGGACTGAAAAAATTTAGGTTTACTACCATACATAATTTAAAAAAAATCATGTTGAAGTGTGAGTATCAAATATGACAATCTCAATCATCGTCTTGCATTGAGTTTTGGCACCTACATTTTATCATAAACGAATAATTTAAATGTCATCTTACAATACATATTATTGGAAGATTTAGCGTAACAACTGATATTGTTTTTTCATTTTATTTAAATAGTCTGCTATTCTGACTTAAAGATCTCATTGATTTGCATTAAAGGCTACCAAAATGTAATCTTCCTTTTGGCCATAAAAATAACAACTGCACCAAATTGCATATTTTTGCTCAATTGTTCCTCTGAATAAAATTCAGATGTTTTTACCCTCTTTGTTTATGAGCTCCACCTCACTATATCATACTATATGAGCCATCAAAGCCTGATGTATCAAATATGATATTCAACAAAACACACACAATACTAAAGGTTCAATAAACTGTTCCAAATGGATTTTTCCTGACAGTTATTTTATATATCAGACATAAACGGGTTAAAATATTAGATGTTCATATATCAAGGCATGTGATTTGTAAAAAGTGGTTGATCGCCATAATGACATCAATATGTGGTTGGTATGGTTAGTCCACCGGGTCTGATGCGTTTGCCATACAGTCTTGAAGTTTAATTTTGTGTTTTATCTGGATCTTCGATTGAGGTTGGTCAAAGGAGACGCCTCTCACGAGCAGAGGCCAGTTGTGAGATGATCCAGATGTGGTTTTCTTTTCTTCAGCAACTTTATTAATAGCACTGGAAATGACAGGTTGGAGCACAGAACCACGTGTCTGGGCTTGATTTGATAACCCTTTCGCTAATAGAATGAGACATTTGGATGGAATACAGATTGAGTGTGTGCTTCATGGTTTCAGTATGTTGGTCTGGCCTATTGTGAGATTATTAAAGCAATATTTTTGGAGGGAGGAAGATATCACCAGAGACGGATATGGATGTTATTGCTGCACGTTTCTCCAAGCACATGATCTTTAAGCTCCAGATATTCTAGTGTATGGGAGTTGATCTTGACGTTCATCTCCAGATGAGGTAGGCCCCTGGAGAGTGTTTGAGAGTGATTGCATGTACGTCCTATTGAGTTTCAGATCATTTGGGTCTGGCATTGAGGAATCCCTCTGTGCTTGGTTGGGCTTTTGTCTTAAACCGTGTTGTTCTGTTTAATTTCCTGTCAAGTGGCTCACAGATTTGATTTCCTTTAGCTGGTGAAACGTTATCTGCCCCATTCCATCCCAGACAACTCGCCTCTCCAGTCATTTTGAGATGGGCTTCCGTCTGGCCTCTGCTTTGAGTTGTTTGGGCTAAGAGCTGCACTGAGTTTGTTGATGATGACATGTATTGGTTAAGTGGAGGATGTAGGTTTGAAAAACCTTTAGAAGTAGGACATATGACTGGGACTTGTAGATTAGGGGAAACTCTCAGAGTCTGGGATCAATTCTTATTTTTGAAGCAGTCAGACCAGTTTCCCATTAAAGTGCCTGCCTGTGTTGAGAGATGTTCCATTTTTTTCCCACTCAGATGCTTATGTTTTATCCTGAATAAAGTTGCTTTGCAGTTCTCAGATGTTGTACAGGGTTGCAAACACAGTACATGCTAAACATTACAGCTCATCCAGTGTAGTCTTGATTCTCGAACAAATGACACTCATTAGGTAGTTTCTGTTTAG